GTCGTCTGATGGAGACCACAAGAACGAACCCTAACTGGTCTGTACCCTTGTCGTCTGATCAAACCCGCAAAACGAACCCTAACTGGTGTACCCTCGTGTCAAATCGAGCCCTCAAGAACGAACCCTAACTGGTCTGTTCCCTCGTCGTCTGATCGAGCCCGCAAAACGAACCCTAACTGGTGTACCCTTGTGTCAAATCGAGCCCTCAAGAATGAACCCTAACAGGTCTGTACCCTCGTCGTCTGATCGAGCCCGCAAAACGAACCCTAACTGGTGCAACCTCGTGTCAAATCGAGCCCTCAAGAACGAACCCTAACTGGACTCCTTGTGTCATCGAGCCCTCAAGAATGAACCCTAACAGGATTGTAGTGGAATTGTTGGTACCACTTTGAAAAACAAAAAAAAAAATTATTGTAACCTTATGTCGTCCTCTAGATGGACACCTGCTTCCTTCCTCCGCAGAAAGTTATTCTTTTTCTTTTTTATTTTTTCAAATATCTCTTCTTTCTGTTTTTTTTTCTTTAACAAAATATATGTGTACATATTAGTAAATATCACCATCTGAAAAGGTATTGAACCATTTTTTTTTTTTTTTTTGGATAAATAAAAGTTATTGAACCATTGGTATTCAAAAATTTATTTGGCATTTGGTATTTGGTATTTAAATATAAGCTTACTTGGATTTCCTTGTGGTTTGGATCTATAAAATGGATTATGGTAATCTAAGGTCCATTATGGACCAAACTCACATCCTGACATTAAGATGTGGACCAGATTCCAATTTACAAAAAAAATTGCCATTTCAGGCCGTACAACTAGATATTTACTATTATTACATTTGTCCCTTATTAGTTGTTTATCATTGATTTTATAACTTTTTAAGGAGACAAGTAATTAATGCATTATTTCTTTTTAAAATTATTAAATTATTCTTTTAATTTAAATATATATAGTTATAAAGTTTGAAATTTTTTAAAAAGATAAAAAATAATGATGAAAATATAAAGAAAATATGTTTTAACTTTTTAAAGAGGATAACTAATTTAAGACATGTAAAAAAAATAATGAACTCTTATTAGAGAGGGACTCCATAAATTGAAAAACATGAAAAGACACTACAGCCAAAATAAAGGTAAAGAAGATGGAGCAATCTACCAATCTTGGGGGTCATTGAAGATTGCAACAAGACCAAAAAGATAATGTATCTGACAGCTCAAAAAATTCACAGCATTCAACAAGCCATGGCATACATTCTTCAAAAGCACATCAGAATGTTTCTCCCCACTAATTTTATCCATATTAAAAGTTAGGGTAAAATATAGTAATACCCTTTGAGGTTTAACAAAAAAATACTTAGAAAAAACTTACTTATATTTTGGATAAAGACATTCCCTTAAGGTTCAAAAATGAACAAAAACACCCATAACATGAAAAATTGACTAAATTACCATTTGATCATTTAGGAGACTTTTTTAACTTTGCAATTTAATAAATTAGACCAATCTACCCTCTTGAATAGTTTGTGCATAAAAAAAGAGTAAAAAAAAACTTTATATTGTTCACTTTTTTTTTTTTTTTTTTTTTTTGTTAATTACTTTATAAATGTTCCAACTTCTTAAAAATGTAGACGTATAAAATGAATTTTTGATTCAATACATATATTTCAAATAAATTATATTTTGTTATTACTTTTTTTATTTTTCTTTTTTATTTTTAAATTAAGATGTTTAATTCTTTCATCTAAAAAAATTAAACCAATCTTTTTTCCTTAAAAATAAAAAATAGGGTACCGGTATAACTTTATGCATTTCCTAACATAAAAAAAAAAAATAGGTACCAGTATAACTTTATGCATGCCTTTATTTTTTTGTTTTTTTTTTTTTTCCCTTTTTTTTATTATTATTTTTTTCCCTTTTATGTTAGGAAATGCATAATATTTGATATATAATTTAAGATGCATAAAGTTATACTGGTACCATATTTTTAATTTTTAAGGAATGGTTTAATTTTTTTAGATGAAAGAATTAAGCATCTTAATTTAAAAATAAAAAAGAAAAAGAAAATCATTTTAGACGTTTACATTTTTTAGAAATTGGGACATTTATAAAGTAAATAACAAAAAAAAAAAAAAAAAAAAAAAAAGTTGAACAATATAAAGTTTTTTATTTTATTTTTTTATGCATAAATTGTCCATGAGGGTAGATTAGTCCATTTTATTAAATTGTAAAGTTAAAAAAGTCTCTTAAACGGTCAAAGGGTAATTTGGTCAATTTCTCATGTAAAGGGGTGTCTTTGTACATTTTTGAACCTCCAGGGGGTGTTTTTGTCCAAAAAAATAGGTAAGTTTCATCTGAGTGTCCTTTTGCCAAACCTTAGGAGTGTGACTGTACTTAACCCTAAAAGTTATGTGTCCATGTTCCCATTTTGATGTAGGACAATGTTTAGTAATTTTTTAATTTAGGTTTCTTATTATTCATATTTTTAATAGAAAATTTAATTTTAAGAATAATTGTTCTTCTGTTATTAGGTTTCTTTATGTTTTTTATTTTCTTTGAAAGATAGATTTTTTTTAATTATAAATATGTGTGCTTTGCAAAATTAACTTTTTATTCATTCAATTATTAATAAGATATTAAATTTCTGTGAATTTAAAACATTTACTTTGTGGATTCAAAGTAAATTGGACTGATGGCAATTGATAGCTAAACTCTTGCTGGTGACGAAGATCGACATAGAGTGGCTTTTTCTAAAGCGGAATTTCAAGACTATCAATGTAAAATCTGGCAAACGTTACAAGATATATGCTTACTAAGCTTGAGTTGCAGTAGAATAACGATAACAACAAGTTTCGCAACGACGACATGGATCATGTTTGTCTTGTTCATAATCGCAACCCCTTCCCTCCACATAGTCCCTCAGCTTGTGAGGAAAAGGTGTTTGGGAATCATAGAGATGCACGAAGATATCATGATTATGAGAATTAGGATTTGAGGAATTTTCCTCCTACTAGTTTTGATGGTTTTTTTCGTGTTGAAGATTTACAAGATTAGTTGGAAAATTTTGAGGAGTTCTTTGATTACACGGGGATTTTAGAGGATAGGAAGGTTCGCATACAAAGAGCTTCTCTTTGGTGGGATAATTGCGGGTTACTCGTGCACGACAAAAAAAATCATCGTTATGATTAACGTCTTTTGAAAGCGGAGTTTCTTCCATCTTACTATGAGGAGATCCAATTTTAGCCCTACCAACATCCTCCTGTGATGAAAAAGTTTGCACTAATAGCAAAAATGGTACCAAAAATTATGTGTTCAAAAGCCGGAATCCAAGGAAACTTGCTTAGAAGAGGAGAAGCATGAAAGAGATAGAGTTCATGATGTTGAGAAAGCCAATGCAATTGCCCCACAATAAGCTCTGGAATAGATCCAACGTTGGAAATTTCTTCAGAAACCAATTTGGAGAACTTGAATAATGACTTGCGAGAAAAGGACTTGGAACAATTTGAGGTAGAGTTGTCCAGCGTGAAGCTGTTCAAGTGTAGGGCAAGTAATAGCAAGGCGAGAATGGACCCAAATTGTGACAATGAAGAGCTTAAAGTATACCTAATTAAAATATGAGTAGTCAATGGCAAAGATGGTGAAGGTGTTAACATTCAATTAGCTCCGGTGGAATCTGCCACTTGCTTTGTGGATGGAATAAAGGTGGAAAATCATATTCCATTGAAGGATTCCATGCACAAGACATGGAATAGAGAGTTCTAGATTATACTTTACACCATCTAATCTAATGTAAAGGGTACAAAGACTTATTATCAGTGCTTTAAGTATTGTGTTATTTGGAAAGTAGGAGATAACATAAATTTTCAGTTGACAGAAAGAGGTGTTACAAAATCACTGGCCATCTTAGAATGCTATGGAAACTATAATCAGTTCCTTACATTCATGTCTATCTTTAGAAGAGTAACGAGAACAACGAAATAAAGCAGCTCCATCAACTTGATCTACACATCGAAAGGCATCATCAACTTTTACGTGTTATATATATATATATATATTTTTTTTTTTTTTTAATAGAAAATTTAATCTTAATTAATTTCCTTAGGAATTATTTTCTTTTTACTATTAAGATTTTTTTTATGTTTTCAGTTTTTTTATAGCGGTAGGTTTTCTTTTATTATAAATATGTGTATTTTACATAATTAACTTTTTATTCACTCAATTATTAATAATATATCAGATTTCTTTGAATTATTTCTTCGATTTGTGAATTCAACACATTTACTTTATGGATTCATAAACTGTTCTTTATAAATAAATTTATCACTTTCACTTACGTCACATTTCTACATATTTTTTCACAATTTCAAAAATAATTCATAGAAGAATGAACAAATAATAAATAAACATGATCAATGACTTCATTATTATAAGAAACAATTTAAAAAATAATCCGTTGAAGAACAAACGCATGATCAATTATATTATAAGAAAAAATTAAAAATATATAAAATTAGATATAAAAGGAACACGAGAAAATTTCTAGGTTATCCTACATCAATAAATTATACATAACTCTAGAAGTGATTATACATTTTTGAAATCACGAAATGCATAAAGTCATGAGGTGATCAATAAAGCAAAAATTTATAGGCAGAGATCTTTCTTTTATCACGAATTAACTAGTCATATCGTACAAAAATGTGAACATTTTAGTGGCCATTTAAGGCACATTTGACATATATAGCCATCTAAGGCAAACCAAACTTTTGACACATGAAAAAAGGAGTGGACGCGTATTGGTTGAGCAGCCTTTAATTTTTCATATAAATATGTAATTTAAGATCCAAATGTTACTTAAAATAATAACTTTTATTTTATCGTTTCAATATTATAAAAAGGTAATATTGCACCACTAGCAAAATTTTACGGGTTGCTCTGAATAACCATGAAAAAGCTCAAGGGTATAAGTGTGATTTTATATATATATATATATTTTTTTTTTTTGGGTAAGGGATACGATCATCCGAGTGTGGTTTCCCTTTCTTTTTAAAATTTTTACAAGTCAAAATTCCCAAAGGCCGCCAATGGAGATCAAGATGGGATGATGATACTGTACTTCTGATAGAGAGATGAGTCCTGCTTTACGATTTCTACAGCGGATGAGGGCCATAACCTCACCATGTTCACTTCTTTCTCATTCAAGAATTCCATGTACGTTTCTGTGTGTTTTTTTTTTTTGTGCAAGTGTGTGTTTATATATATGGTTTCGTGTTTAATGTACTCTACGAGTTAGAATTCAAACGGAGGCTTAAAATTTCAAGATCTTACAATGAAATTCTTGTTATACGACTATCTCATTTTTGGTACTACTACTCTTGACACTAGTGCAGTTTATGGAAAATTTGAACCGTCTAGGGCATGGATGAAGGGCGTTGAACCTGCGCTATATAATCGTGCGTCGATATCTCACTGGAAGTTATATATACTAAAGAATTATGTTCAGGATTTCTGTAAATCAGGTAAGTTTTACAGTTAGTCGTAATTTATTTATTTTTCACTAAATTTATTTCTTGTAAATTTTCAATTTGATGTTAATTTGATGTTTTTCATTATTTAGCCCTATTATTTTCACATAAAGATCTGTTAAGTATATGCAGAGATGCGAATTGCCCTCGCTGTATGGGGAAAATTTGCCTTGTACTGCTCTGCAAATTCTGCGACTCTGTTTACTATATACGCAAAATTAGTCTTATTGCTATCGAACATACTGAGTCTTGTCAATTTTAAAGTTGAAATTAATGTCACGTTTTTCATCATTTAGTCCTATTATTTTCACATAAATATCTATACAAAATACTATAAGTATATGCAGTGATGTGAATTGCCCTCGCTGTATACAGAAAATATGTCTGGATGCTAAAACATATATGTATACATATAAATATATAATTAGGTCCAGGTTTTGGTTATTGACTTATTGTTTATCAACCAGTGGTAAATTTTCACAATTGTAAATAATTAAAAATTGAGCATCTGTATTTTCATCTATTAGGCATTAGTATACATTGTCATCTAGACACCATTTGTTTTATTAGTGGCCTACTAAACATTTTGGATTAGCTTGTAGGTGACATAAGTATTGGTTTCTTATTAGGCAAAACCATATATCAATAATTTTTCTTTCACCTTTTGTGGTTCATCTAGTCAGTACAACTAAGTAGATTCGTTTGGCAGGTTCACCATATTCATAATATCTTGTAAGCTATTTCTTAAGGTTTTCAAGGATTAACTAGGTTTAAAGTTTCTTGATGCATCATTTGATGCTATTTTTTAGAGTATATATATAGGATTTTTTTTTTTTAATTTTAATTTTAATTATTATTATTATTTTTTTATGTGTCTATGTTCAATTGTGCATAAATGGAAAGAGGCATGTTTTTATTTGGATGAGCTGTCATTGGATGCCTCTCCTTTTATGTTTTCTTGGACAATATTCTGTTTGAGGACTTGTGATGCTTTTTGTGCTTACAATGATTCTTCTTTCTTTCGATCTTTTGCCTTGGGTGGATGGGTGTGGTGCTTTTCTCTTTGCTTTGGAAGGATTTCTCATTCTTGTTCTCCCGCCGCCTCAATCTTTTTTATAATATGGTTTCTGACCAAAAATGTGGAAGCTTGAAGTTGTAATAGACCATCATAAGTTTATCAATTTTGAAACGTTTTGTCATGTGACACCTGTCAGAACAGATATATGTTATTTCTCCTTCAGTCAAATTTGGTGTCAAATATGTTACACTATCTGAATGCTGAAATTGTAATTATTGTTTATTTGGGCTTATCACTCATTATTTTCCTCAACTTCTGGAAATTAACTACTGATGAAACATATGGTTTCTCTTGTTGCGCCTGATGCCTCATTCAGTTCGATTACTCTCAAAATACGTCCCTGCTCTATTTATTAGTATGCTAATATATCGTTGGCACTTTTTCAGGACGGAAATTCCCTATGGGGACTATATTTGGTGCATCAATTGTATATGGATCAGTCACCCTTTGGCCACGCATTTCCTATGCTATGGACGGTGAGCAGAATATGTCGGCTGATGTGGTGCACTCCGAATACTTCATTATATATGATTAATTGTACACCAATTCTTTTTAATCTACCTCATTCCTCTCAAACATGTTTAGCATTCTGTTCTTTCGATAATGCAGGTTTTGATGTCTTAGTGTATGATCATGATGCTGATCTGTTGGGTGTGTCAGACAGAGAAGAAGATCCACATGCGATGTTGGCATTTTCAAGGAAAATGTGGCTGCCCGTTTTTCTCTTCTTAACTGTGCTGCTGAACTGGAATCATCCTGTTGTCCTTGCAGCTAAAGTTTTTTTTTTCCTTCTAAGCACCAAGCCCAGACCTTTCTCAGTTTACCTATTTGTTGAAAAGGTGAGAAGGCATTGTATCTTAATTTGCTGCATGTATAACGTTTCTACTATCTAATAAAGCTGCCTCAAAAATTTGTGAAGCATAAACAGATTTATATCTACATGAACATAGAAAATGTAGTTTGATGCACCCGGGCAGACTTAGCAGCTGAAAACACATGAATTCGTATTATTAATGTGAACATTAATATGGGGCAGCATCAATTCACACCTAGTGCAGGAATAGTTATTCTCATCCTTCTCAATAACTTCATGTCAGATTCAGTTTTTATCAATTTCCAATTTTTTCAACTGTGTTGCATATCACATATCAAGTGGATTAGATATAAATTGGTGTCTAATCCATGAAATCATATTTTTTTGTTTAATAAAATTATAGAATAGAATTTTAATTTATAATGCTAGGAGATTCTAATCTCTAGTTAATTTAATTTTTCGCATACAATATAAACATGATAAACCATGTTACATAACACCTGGATATAGGTATGCGTTTCTTGTATTTTGTTGGATATGCACCTAGAAAACGTATCAAATAAATTCAAATTTACTGTATACATAATACCCTCCATGTTAAAAGGCAAAACACCATCGTACCTAGGAACTATATTAGTACACCATTTTCATATGTCCTTGGATTATTTTATTTGATAAATCTGACACTCAAGACATATATTCACACCCAAGACATGCACATACCCAAATCTATAGAACATAGATGGCAAGGACATTCAGTACAACGTTAGGATTATCCAACATTTTATTTTTTTAATTTACTTGCACCTAGCTGAATAGGTCCTCCCCTATTGTTGTTACTGGATATAGACCTAAGCTTTGGCATCATTTGTGCGAAGTGGTTGTCCTTTGGTTAGGACTCACGTTCTCTTTTGGATCTCCAAGCTTTTACTAATGCCCATTGAGTATCCCTCTAGTCCTTAAGTTGTCATTATCTTAATATTCGTGCTCTTATTCTTATTTTTAAAGTCATTGAGTGATAATGTAAATGTGTAATGTGGATTTTTTCCCACAACCATGTAATATAGATGCGGATTATGAAAATGAATAGAGATCCAATAAAGTGAACTTTTGCAAAACCAATAGTGGGGTTTCGTTTGAAAACTACAAAAGATAAATTATGACCTGCAAAACCAAATTTGATATGAGATTGGCTGGCAGCTGTCAAGTTGAGCCTGTTTAAGTAGTACACTAATGTTGCGTTTGGTGTGCAAGAATGGAATGGAATGGTCATTCTCATTCTATTGTTTGGTTGTAAATATAAAATGCGTAGGAATGGAATGATAATAACCATTCTATTGTTTGGTTGGATCAATTTAAAATTTAGAATAAAATAAATTTCAAATTGAGTTCTCCAAAATATCCCTCTTAGTAACAAATAAGTTAAATTAATAAAATGACATTCTTTTATAATTTTTTTAAAAATAAATGGTGGCAGTGGCGGTGGCGGTGGCGGTGGTGGATGGTGGTGGAGGTGGAAAGAGGTAGTGGTGTTAAGAGGAGACGGCGGCGGCAATGGTGGAAAGCGGCAGCAGTGTTGGTGGAGGGCGGTGGCAGTAGTGTGGTGGTGGTGGTGGAAGGAGACAGTGATGTACGTGACGGTTGTGGAAGCCAATGGAGGTGACTGTGGTAGTGGTGGAAGGTAGCGGAGGTGGCAGTGGTGGAATATGGTGGTGGTGGTGGTGGAAGGCGGTGGCGGTGGAAGACGGTGGCGGTAATGGAAGGTGGTAGCGGTGGTGGTAGTGGAAGGCGGTGGCGGTGGCGGTGGCGGTGGTGGAAGGTGGTGGCGGTGGCGGTGGAAAGTGGTCGGCGGTGGTGAAAGTCGATGGCGGTGGTGGTGGTGGAAGGCGGTGGTAGTGGTGGAAGTCAGTGGTGGTGGTGGTGAATGGCGGAGGTAGTTGTGATGGAAGGTAGTGGTGGTTTTTGGATTTGGAACATGAGAGTTTTTTGGGAAGTGAATTTAAAAAAAATTTACTTGGGAATGGAATGGCCATTCCATAGGTTTAATTGTGAAATGGATTTTCATTCCAATGGAATAACCATTCTTACTTTCAATGGCATACCAAACAAAAGAATGGGCATTCCATTCATGCACACCAAACGAAGCATAAGTGGGCTTGCGATTTATAGTAAACCCACCTATCCAGAATAGTGGGGACCAAACCCCTAAGCCAAACAGTTGCCAGTCAATCTCAGACCAAAATTGGTTGCACAAGTTATACTTTTATTTTATTTTTGGTTTTCTAGCGGACCCCAGTATTGGACTCACAAAAGTTCACTTTATTGGATCTCTATTAATTTTCCAAAATAGATATTTGTTGTTTGTGTGCATGTGTGTGTGTGTTGGGGGCTAGGAAGCACGGACATGTCCCGACACGTGTTGGACACAGACACGCGTCGGACATGTCCTGACACGTGTCGGACACACCAAAAAACGTGTCTGGAATTTTTTTTTTATTTTCGGACATGGCACGGACACTCCGCAGACACGCATGTCTGGAATTTTTTTTTTTTTTTTTTTGTTTTGTTCTGAATGCTGATATGCTCTGTTTTTTGTTTTGTACTACCCTTTTGGTATTATAAATGGTAAAAGTCCTAGGTCAAATGATGGATGGGAATAGATGATAGTACACTGACTTGCTTTTGTATCTTTTTTGGGGACTAGCCTTTAGGTTTTTGTGAATGTTAAGTGCTAACAGTAAAGTTTTGAATGTTAAATAGTCATGAATGTTAATAGTCCTTTTTGTCTATGCTTTTGTATTTGGAGAAAAGTTGCAATGATGATTTAATGATACTAGTTATTATTCTAATGGCTTGGTTTTTATTTGGTTTTATAACTCTACAACATTGTTCTTTTATAGTTTATTAGTTATGAGTTATGATTTGTGTTTTTTTTTTCATTGTGAGGTTGATGAAAAATAGTAACACTCAGTAATTTTTAAAGTACTACATAGTGTGTGTTTGTGTATATATATATACTATTCGCCATGTCCCCGCCGTGTCCGTGTCCTAATTTTTTTGGATTTGCCGTGTCCGTGTCCGTCATATCCGTGTTCATGCTTCTTAGGTTGTTTGGGGGACCTACATGACACACAATTAGAATATGGAGTGTTACTTTGAACACTTCTCCCGTTGACTTTTGAGGCCTAGATATGAAATTATATTATTTATTTATTGTGCAGTTTGTGTTTGGTTTACACAGGCATTATTATGAGCCATGGTGAAAATTCCAAAGATTAGCAAACTGGTTGAGCTATGAGCTTGACCTGGTTTTCTAGACCATTGATTTTAGGGATATTACTGCAAATGGACATCTGCAAATAGAATTTGCAAAGAACTATTTAAGAAACATGTTTCAAGCCCATCTATTAATTATAACATGGGTAATTTATGTTTGATTTACATATGCGTAATAGAGATGACATTCCCGTATGTGGATGATGATTGTTTGACATAGTGTTTTCTAAAATTTTGTAGTTACGCCGTCGATCTATGAGCCAACAGCCTCTCTTCTACAAATTTAATGTGAGTTTTCTTGCACTATTACTTATAGGAGTTGCTGGAATACATGACAGAAATTTCCTTGAAATTCTAAACTTGTTGATTATATAATCTAGTTATTGTCGTATTTTTTATATATAGTATTTTCATCAAAATTGAATTGTTCATTTCTTAATGAGAAAGAGTTGCAGTCAATGAACACTAAGGATGATCTAGCTTCTTTTACTTTCAACATAAGAACCTTTTCCAAAATGCCAAACTGGCCTATCCTATGCACAAGCAGCCATGATATTACCACATAAGAGTTTGCCAATTTTCTTCGGAGTCTGCTAGTCTCTCGTGGGCACTTGCGCATCTGTTGCCCGTGGACCAGCAATTAGTTATATATTTATTTATATGACTTTTGGATCAATTTCTGGTTTTTGCCTTTTGGGCTGCAGAGAAGAATTTGATAGTTGAGAGAGAGAAAAAGCTGGCTATTGGCTCAATTTCATTTATGTGAAATAATTGGAACTCACATATAGTTTATATGATGCATTTGTGCTTCCAACTGCAGCATCTGATAAAAGTCACATTAGTCTCCCTACGAGTACCAATAATTTTTCCTATTGGAGATGCATAATTTTTCACTGCCAAACCTGACGACTCCTAGTTCCCATCTCCCTAATTTATCCTGTTATAAAATTTAGCGTCAACTATCACTACAGAAGTTAGTTGACGAAGTTCTAATATGTTCTCTACTCTGCAGTCATTATATGCCAGCAAAGTTGAAGTTGAAGACTATGCATTTCTCTGCCTGGCTAGAGTTGAATTAAAAGGTCAGAAGTTCACTTTGATTGGAATTCTGGGTAGCTGGTGGGTTTTGCCATTGTCACCATCGGAGGGAGAATTTTCTGTATTTGGAAACATCAATCTCAAGAATTATTCCAGATTATGAGATAACTAGGAAAAATAGCTACTATTTCAAATTCATGGTTGTTAACTGGACTACTCTCTTTAGAGTTTCTTTCCAGTTCTGTTTTTCATTATTCAGGGGATATATATTTTCTTTCTTTTTGGGGACTTAATGACAGAAAATGTGAATTGAATACCACTCTGTACAAAAGAAGAATTTTTTTCAGCTACATTTCATGAAAGATGATATACTTTGGTCCCCTAAGATGTATCAGTTATTATTTACGGGAGAAAAAAGAAAAAGAAAAAAAAAAGGAAGTACTTGTGAAAAGCATTTATTTTTCTTATGTAGCTTTCTTCTGTAATTTCTTGGAAGATTTGAACAAAAGGCACCGAATGTGATGGCCAATTTTAGTTGATTTGGTGTCACTTGGTAGATATATCTACTTATCTGTTAGTTCGCCATATTGTCTGATATGCGATCTTTTTTCAAATCAGATATGTGACCCTATCGGTCAGTTTACACTGACTTTGTCCGAGTCTGGTGTATTTGTCTGAGTTTGTTACATCGTGACCGATACCGTAACTGTGACCGATACTGCGAACTATAGCATCACACATCATTTTGACATTTTTTGCTTTGGAGGATAATAACCTAAACCAAGGGTAAATGGTGGGCACCAAAAGAATTAGTTTATATATGTGCGTCATACATATATTCGTAAACTTATATTGTTTTATTGCTGGGAAAAGTTAATTAGTAATTAGTTTTGTTCGTTGTAAGGTGTCCGCTGCAATTAAATGATTATTTCGTGCATTTTTGTTCTTAAACATTGTATTTTGATTAATTTGTTTTGCTCAACTTTCATCTTTATATGGGCACGAATTTTCATTATTACAATAATAGCAACTTCCAATTTTGCTGGTTAAACAGTTCTATCAACTCCTATTTAACCAATTTAAAGTCACTTTCATGAATCCAGAAACATTGGTTCGACAAAAATTACGAGGTACAATGATTAAGCAAAACACCATCTTTGGATTAAGCATGGAGACCTCCCTATTAATAGAGTGTTAGGACATTGAAATTACTAGCATTTTTCATTGTACAAAATGAACCGAAAATTAGTTATTGAATTTTCCAAACATCCTTTTACAGTCAACTCCAACACATCCACATTTTAAAAGTGGTACATTTTTTTTTTTCTTTCCTTACTCCATTTAAGCAAAACACCATCTTTGGATTAAGCACGGAGACCTCGAGCGTAATAACATTGAAATTACTTGCATTTTTCATTATACAAAATGAACCGAAAATTAATTATTGAATTTCTCAAACATCCTTTTACAGTCAACTCTATCATATCTACATTTCAACTGTGGTACTTTTTTTTTTTCTTTTTCATTCCTTACTTCATTTATGTCATGTTTGGTCGTATGGAATTGGTTTCTTTCCTCTAATTTCAATTTCAAAACACCAACTCAACACAAAATCAATTTATTATTTCTTTGTTTGATGTTCCAAGTAAAGGAAAATTGGTTGAAGGTGCTGTGGGTACATCGAGCCTATGTGGGATATGGTGGGGGCAGGCGCACCCACTGAATTTTTTTTATTTGCATTATGTACCTATAAATTTGATCAAATATTGAAATAGCCACACTCAAACTACGAAAAAAATCCAATGACGCCCCCCTCCCCACAATGGGCACCAGATGACCAGAATCTATTAGGATTTCGAGTTGTAAAAATCAGGTATAGGAGTCATTTCCTAGGCTGGTTTAATCACCTTAACCAAGTTGCCAAACACCATCTAATCACCATACTTGAGTTTGTCCGGTCCTGATCTATATTGTATCTTAAGATTACCCGTTTATTTTGCTTGACGAAAGTTCTACAAAGAACAATCCACCCATCTTGAGCCCAATTTCTTCGTACTTACACATGCATTACAAAAGAAACCATATCACTCTTTGCTTTCTCGTCATCTAACTTAACTAATTACTTCTTACAGTATGACAAGTGCCTTCAAAAATCTGATTGCAATCAACCCAAGAAAAAGTTTCAAAACTTACATTGAAACAAGTGTACGTGTTTTGAAAAATTTGTCCAAGGAAGGTCTGAGCACTCAAGGAAGTGTCCTTCATGGCCATTTGATCAAAATGGGTTTATCATCTGAGAGATATATAGCCGTCAGATTGCTCATTATGTACCTAAATTGCAGGAAAATTGCTGAAGTTAATCAAATTATCAAGGAGTTTGATGGATCTAATCTTATCGTGTATAATTGTTTGATTTCTGCTAATGTTGACTGGGGAAATCTTGATGAAGCTCGCCGGTTGTTTGATGAAATGCCTGAAAGGAATGATGTCTCGTGGACTGCATTGATTTCGGGTTTGATGAAATATGGAAGAGTGAAAGAATCAATGTGGTACTTTGCGAGAAACCCATTTCAGGATTTCTACTCATGGACAGCAGCAATTAGTGGGTTGGTACAAAATGGGTTGAATTTCGAAGCTTTGAAGCTGTTTCGGAATATGCTTGGATCTGGAGTATTACCGAATGATGTTACTTTTACTTCTGTTATCAGAGCTTGTAAGGACTTGGGTTATTTTGGAGTTGGGGAGGGTGTTCTGCCATTAATTATTAAAGTTGGCTTTGAGCACAATGTATCTGTTTCTAATTCTTTAATTACATTGTGTTTGAGGTTGGGTGAAATTGACTTGGCTCGGAGAATTTTTGATCAAATGGAAAAGAGAGATGTTGTTTCTTGGACTGCTATTCTTGATTTGTATGCTGAGAAGGGGGACTTGAGAGAAGCTCGCCGGATCTTCAATGAGATGCCTGAAAGAAATGAAGTTTCTTGGAGTGCAATGATTGCAAGGTACAGTCAAAGTGGATGTGCTGAAGAGGCATCGAAACTCTTCCGTCAGATGATTCAAGATGGGTTTAGCCCAAACATATCATGCTTTTCCAGTGTCATAAATGCATTGGCCAGCCTCAAGGGTTTGCAAGCAGGGAGGAACATCCACGGACATGGTGTCAAAATTGGGATCGAGAGAAATGTCTTCGTCGGTAGCTCACTTATTGACCTGTATTGTAGATGTGAAAAAACTGAAGATGGACGCCTTGTGTTTGACTCGATTTTGGAGAAGAATGTTGTTTGTTGGAATTCTATGGTCACGGGGTATAGTTTGAATGGTCAAACAGAAGAAGCTAAGGAGCTCTTTAATCAGATACCTAAGAAAAATAATGTCTCTTGGAACGCTATGGTTGCTGGCTACTTGGAAAATGAACAATTTGATGATGTATTTGTAGTATTTCAGGAGATGCTTTTGTCAGGTGAAACACCAAACAAATCTACATTCTCAAGCATTCTATGTGCTTGTGCAAGGATAGCCTCATTAGAGAAGGGCGAGTACCTCCATGGGAAAATTGTTAAACTTGGGATGCAGTATGATACTTTTGTGGGCACTGCACTCACTGACATGTATGCAAAATCTGGGGATATTGAGAGCTCTAAGCGGGTCTTCAATAGAATGCCTGAAAAGAATGAGATTTCTTGGACTGCTATTATTCAAGGGCTTGCAGAAAATGGTTCTGCAGAGGAGTCTCTCATTCTGTTTGAAGAAATGGAAAGGAGTTCAGGTATTGCACCTAATGAACTAATTCTTTCAGCAGTCCTATTTGCTTGTTCACATTGTGGGTTAGTTGATAAAGGACTTTATTATTTTAATTCAATGGAGAAGGTTTATGGTATAAAGCCAAATGATATGCACTACACACGCGTGGTGGATATGTTGTCTCGAGCAGGACGCCTTTCTGAGGCAGAAAACTTTGTTACAAGCATGCCATTTCAATCAGAAGCTAATGCATGGGCAGCTCTATTAAGTGGTTGCAAGACACATGCAGATGAGAGAATAGCAGAAAGGGCAGCCAGGAAGCTCTCAGAATTGGCAGAGAAGCCTGGAGGTTATGTTCTGTTGTCCAATATTTATGCTTCGGCTGGTAAATGGCTTGATGTTTTGAATATTAGAAAATTAATGAAGGATAAAGGATTGAAGAAAAGCGGTGGTTGTAGTTGGGTGGAGGTGAGGAATCAAGTACATCTTTTTTATTCTCAAGATGGAACTCACTCTCAGTCAGCGGAGATATATGACACTTTAGAACTATTAAATTCTGAAATGCTGGTTGTACAGAGGTACACAGTTTGAAGTTCATCCGAAGTGAGAAAAAAAAGAAAAAAAAAACTTGATTCCCAGAATTTTTTTGGGTAATTGTTGTAGTAAAATAAGAAGACTAGTATTGGACATTGGAGAAGGCAGATCTGGATCATCATACAAGTGTAAACTTCATGTATTAATTTACAGCTGTTAACTCAATATATCTTCTTGTCTTCCAATAGTCAGGGTGTGCCTAGTGGAAGAGCATTTATGTTAAAGAAGATTATTTCAGATTACAAGGCTACAAGGCTGCAAAGCTGCCGTCAATTTTTCAATGAAGTGTATATGATAGTTCACCCCATAATCCAGTGATATTGTTGGGTTGCTCTGCTGCTGGTTAGAAAGCATGCTTCCATAGAAATACTAGTTGCAGAAGAGCCCGGATGATGTCGTACTTGGTATATCTCACATTCTTCCATCTTTCAATTAGCATCAGAATGAGTTAAAATTTTTGTATTAATATCGTAGGAGTCATTTTAAATTGCATTGATTATTAAGTTTGACTCTTCTCACTTCGAGATAGAAGAAGGTCAAGGAAGGATTCCAGACTGGCAATAAATATTGACAGCATTCGGGGTTGAATGACAGAGGATGCTGCCTTCACGAGGAGCTACCTTTAAAGGGAAATTCTCAGCATGGCACCGAAGCATGTGATTGAGAATGCTGATGCAGCATGTCATATGTAGGTATTGATTCCGGAAGTTTTGTCGGCTAGAGAAAGGTGTGGCATTTAGTTTCAAGCAATGGCCGGGCAATTTTCTGGCAAAGCTACCTACCACAGTACCACTGAATGTGGCAAGGCATAAAGGTATTTATTGAAAGCTTTGTGAAATGTGAAACCTTGGTAGAGTGGAATTGTAGGATTTGCATGTTATAGTTCCAGATATATGGCGTTTGAAATACACTACTTTTTGAGTCATAAGTCTTTAGCCAATGAACTAATAAAAAGAACATACATATTATTTATGTATATTACAGCTAAAAGATTCATACTTGCTTCTGTGTTCAGGTTTCAAGACATTACAAAAGCAACGCAGCCGATGATATATAGATGTACTCCATCAGTTGGAAATTTCACCCGGCTCATTTTGTTACAGGTGATGTATGAAATCTGAATGAATGGAAAATTGACAACATGATTGCTAACACAATGTAACCTATGCGACACTTGATGGTTGTTAACTGATGAATGGTGTGACTAGAGTCTACTCGACCATCGTCACCGGCTAGTTGATAATGTAATGTATAACGAAAGATGTCGTTACTCCTCGAAGCTATGAATTTGACAATGTGGTTATGCCTAATGGAATAATTTACTCTTCTTTTATATGCCCTTCTTTTGGGTTGGGTTGGGTTGGGTGGGAGTGGTAGGAGAGACTGGTATGATTATATGAAGGAAGAAAGAAGAAGGAACCCGTTCGCTTGAATCAGGCCTCAGCAGTGCAATGTTGTATTATAAAAAAAATAGCTATATAAACGACTGATTTTTATCCAGATAATAAAGATAACTTATTGTTCGTTTTTTAGTTAAGAAATTAATGTGATGCTACGAATGAGCACAGTGGGTTTGGATAAGTTGCAACCCACGTGAATGCGAAAAGTGCAGATAAAATGTAACTAGAAATTAAAAGTAATGATATACTAATCCTAAGTGACGTCACTAACCAGATAAAAGAATAAAAATAAAAACGATGAAATATGACTTTATTTCTCTACCTGAAAAAGTATGGGGTGTGTCGAAAAACTGTAGACAGGCTTCTATCTATCATTATTTTTGTATAAAATAGCTACTTTCTAAGTCAAATCTACCCAAATATCTTTTATCTTCACAACAAATAATGGTTCTTTTTTTAATACGAATATATGAATAACTATGATATTATTTGTCAAAGTGTTGCTACCCTTAAAAAAAAAAAGAATATGTTATACGGAGTAGTATAATCTCATCAAGGACGATCAAGGGGCACAATGCAAAAAAAAATAATTTAATAGGGTGCAAATTAAAAAAAATTATTCATACAAAAATAATTTTTTTTCTAAAATTGAGGGGGCATCTTCCCCTTAACCTTAATTGTCTCCGTCCATGACCTAATCGCAATTCAAAAATATTGTGAAAATATAGATCAGGTTGTCACGGGTGCTAAAATTATTATAAATATATAATTTCTATTATTACTAACCATTTTATGATTTTTTTTTTGATTGGGGGATTCACTATCACTACTCGGGTTAGGGGCACACCAATGTGCAATTAATTTTTATCACTATCACATTCATTATCACTATTACTTCTCGGGTTAGGGGCACACCAATGTGCAATTAATTTTTATCCGACAGGAGAATTTATAATTATAAATAAACATAAGAGGTCGGGTAAAAGATTTTTCATTTTTTTTAGGAGTCTATTTGTGCAATTTAATTGTTATCCGACGGGAAAATTGTAATTATAAACATTAGTCATTTTTTTTTTTCCTTGGCGGCTCATTGGGAAATGAATTTTATCATTATAAGATTTTACTAGGGGTGCATGAAATTCCGGTCGAATCGGACCAAATTGGACTGGACAGTTTGGTTTGGTTTGTTAATGGTTTGATTCGGTTACAATTCTAAATTTATGAAACCGTAAATATACAATTTGGTCATGGTTTGAAATCCTTTAGGACCGAACTAAATCGAATTTTATGTTATATATATATATGTTAAATTATACAGTATATATAATATAATATAATCCTACAATCAAATCACTTAAAAGTTTGTAGCAACTATCAATTCTATGGTCCACATACTCTTAATTCTCTTAGGTTTTATCAATTTATTAAATAATTTTTTTTTAGTGACTAAATTTTTAATTGTGGCTGTTTGTTTGTTGTTGAATTAGTAATTCTAAATGTATTAGGTTATTAGCAATTCTGAATTTATTTACTTCCAGGGGCGGAGCCAGAATATTGAGATTGGGGGGGGGGGGGGGCCAAAATTATAAACAACATACTTAGCTAGAACTTTTGAAAAGAAAAAAAAAATATTTCGTAGGCAAAAATATTTTACTATTTATTATATTTATACAAAAATATATCTATCTAAACTTTAAAAAAAAAAAAAAATTTAATTAAATAACTCTCTTTATTTACTGAAAAGAAAAAAAAAAAAACAAAAATGATTTTTTTTTTTTTTTAAAAAAAAGGAAAAAATTGAAAATTTGACAAAACAATAACAATGATTAAAAAAAAAAAAACACAAACAAATTAATAAAATAAGAATTTAGATTCTTAAATTGATATTCAAAACTTCAAATGAAATTTTTGTTCTAGATTTTGTAAAAATTATTTTCTTATAGAATTTGTATAAAAGCATTCCAATAAAAATAAAAATAAGTTATGGAACGAATCATGTAGGAGATAGAATTTTAGGATAATAAGATTATGAAAAGAATCATGCTTGAGTTGGAAGGATTTTAAAATAATCACATTATGGAAAGTATGGTGTTTGAGTTAAAATTTTAAGATAGTCATTTTAAATTTTTATCGGGGTTTTATAGTCCTCGATTAAATCACTTTCTTTTAGGTTATATACAAATTATTTTTTGTTAAATGCTAATTAAAGAAAGAAAAAAAAATTTCTTAGGGAACCAAGTATAAATTTTATACCATATATGTTATATTATTTTATTTTTACCTGTACTAAAAAAAAATTCCAAAAAATTAGGGGGGGCCATAGCCCCCGCCAGCCCCCCCTTCCCTCCGCCCCTGTTTTCTTCAGTTCTAGAAGTTCAAAGCGATATAAAAGAATGAATTAAAAGTTCTGAACTATTAATAGTTCTGAATATGTTAGTAACTTGGTTTATTGTTGTGCATGTAGATTTTAAAATATGAATATTTTTGTAACAAGAAAGAAAGAAAAAAGGAATCGTGGAACTGAACCAAACCGGTTTTTCATGATTCTATTTTTTTTCTTTGGTCAAATGGTTCGATTTGATTTAAAATTTTATAAATCCGTTACAATTGGTTTAGTTCGAAAAAATTATTAAACCGATCGAAATCGAATGCACCCCTAGATTTTAGCTATTTAAATTTCCCTACTATTTGTTTAGACGTAAATTTTATCATAATTAGAAAAATTCACGGATTAGAGACTTTAGACTTTAGAGTGGTGAAAACCCCCATCCCAGAACAGCTACACAACGTGACTGGAGCGGAGCCCATTGGTATCATAAAAGTTCAGAGTTCAGACCACGGGTCTCCCGCCAAAGGACCAAAGCGTAATCGACTCCGACTATAAACACTCCTCTCTTTTTTGCTCTGTACTTCCTCTCTCTAGTCTCTACTTCTGCTCCCCAAGGTAAATTTCTCACTCTCTCTCTCTCTAGATTTCTCCGTTGAATCTCAGAAAATTGTGAACAGAGCCTTTGCAAAATCTCATTCTCTCTCACACTTTCTCTCTATTTCTCGATTCAATTTCTAAAAATTGAAAAAAAAAAATTCCTGGACACGCGTTAATATATATGTGCTCTGATACAAAATCCATACATATATATATATATATATATATCAGTGTGTAGTGTGCATATTGTATGTGTATATAATGCAGTTACATTACTTGCACCTCGTATACATGAATGCTCTGATAGAACAAGGAAGATATTAGGAAATTTTATACATTTGCTTGATAGTTTCAGTCACTGTGATCGTCCAGTAGAAAATTCAGCTCGAATTGGAATTGAACTTAAAGCCATCGGCATCGATTACAGTGGATCTCAATTTCACAGTACTTGCGAACTCGTCAGTCTTTCCATATTGCTTAGGGAAGCGTGATTTGGTGTTGAGAGCGTATTTGCTACAAATTTAATCGAATTCAAAATTTATATGTTCTTGTAGGATCTTTGGTTTCAAATTTGTGATTATTGTTGCCATCTATTAATATTGATTGGAAGTAGCAGATTTTCAGCAATTTCATTTGATCTGAAATTTTTTCATGAACAGAAGATACATGATATACGATCTCTTTCTTTTTCTTTTTCCTTTTTTACTGGTTTACATGCTTGACTTCATTTTTTTCTAATTATTTATTAATTAATCGATTTTTATTTTTTTTATAAATTGGGACAGAGAGACTTCAATTTTGTGTTCCTGGCATGGAGCACCTTGGTTAGATATTAGCCGTATTTTGAGTCTGATTATTTCTCATTTGAACAATTTTTGTTTAATTTGGGAAGAACATTGATGAGTTTTTTTGTTTTCACTCGGAAGAAACAGATGTAGAAATAGAAACAGCTTCCGAAACGAAGGGGACTAAACAGGAACAAGAGGAATCCACCGAAGAAGATCCTTCTCCTACATAATATGCTTCTTTTATATTTTGACATCTCCTTTAGTTTTTGGGAGAAATTAAATTTTGTAGGGATGGATGTATGAAAATTTAGGTTTTTGTTATTAGAAATGAAGATTTAAAATTCTTGATATTTTAGAACTCCTTTTAAGAAGTTTTTAATGAATCAACAAATTTTAGGTATATGTTATTGTAGAATGAAGATTTGAGATTGTTGATGTGGTTCATTGTGCATCATGAAAATAAAAATAGCAATATGAGAAATGGCAAGAGTGTTATTTTCACTTCTATTTCATGCTTGATTTTTAGATTCTTGAATATTTTCAATGTATGAGCAAAATCTTGCTTTCTTCTCATGCTTACTGTTGATTAATAGTTTTCTCCTTTGTCCATCTGTTGCAACTCCCATTCTAGATTTATTGTCTGCTATAATTAGAATGCAACACTTTCCTCAATTAAACAAACTCAACGTGCTTGCATGCTCATTGGCCATACTTGAAGAAGCTGATAAATCTGATCCTATTATAAAGTTGTGTTGCAGAAGCGATTTACTGATAATTTTTGCATCCCTCTGTTGATGACCAGAAAAACGAAAGGCGAAAAAAAGAAGTTTGCATTATTGCACCAATAAATGAGCTCATCTATGGATTCCTATGCTCTGAAATGTGTCTCAGATCTACCAGTTCCTTTCCGTTCAACTTTTAGCTTCAGGTAATATGTGTTTTAATTTAAATTTGATCAAATTGATGCAGTAATGTGGCCATCAGCTGTCATTTTGAGGTCATGATTTACATGTTGATACTTTCTGTTACTCTCAATTTATGATTTCTACAGAGCTTTCACTTCAGGTTGCTAATTTTGATTAAAGTTTCAACTAAGAAAAATGTGTCCATGAACATTTGGAAGAACCTACTATTTTTGGCCTTTTTGGCACAATATCTTCCTGAGAATTCTTAAACTTAACAATGTCTCTAATTGGCCTTGGTCAATGTTGAAGGATTTTCACTTTTTCTCTAACAATTTCTGTCTGCACTTTTTTAACATCAACCATGCAGGGACCTGGATGATCTATAAATAATTGGCTTCATATACTGCTTAGTTAATACTGTTCTCTTGCTATACAAAGTGTAGTAACTTACAGCTTGTACCATTTAGTGGGGAAAAAAACTTACAGCTTGTGCATGTAGGTATTTTAACTCGCTGCAGAGTGAGTGCTTTTCTGCTTGTTTCCTCTCCGATGTAAACATGGTCATTTCTGCACCAACTGGAAGTGGAAAAACAGTACTTTTTGAGCTGTGTATTTTGAGGCTCCTCTCGAGGTTCATTTCTGCGGATGGAAGATTTATTCATATAAAGGGAACCCTCAAAACAGTATGCTCCTTACTCAGTTTTTCCTGCACTGAAGTTTTAGATGTTTAGTTCAATATATACGAGATGTGAGTGAAAGTGTCAGTTTCTCCTTTTCAAGGGCACCACACTCCAAGATGCCCACAGAACACTGTTTTTTAATAATTAATTAATTTATTCTTTTTCTTGGGAAATGTGAGGGTGGGGTGGGGGATAGTGGAACTCCTGAAAGCTGCAATAATACTTTGTTATTCATTGATAAGGTTCATCTCATATAACTATCCATTTGCTTCAATGATCAATTTCTCTTACTAAATGATTTCAGTTTGATTTAGACATTCATACCATATTACAAATTGGTGACAGCAGTCCTTGGTCCTTAACATAGATATTCATGCTTCTGTTTCCATTGTATAATTTGTATTATATTATGTTAGAAATGCATGCATGCTTTCTTTCTCTGGCAGTTAGTAAGCCGTTGTACTGGGTTTGTCTTTATTTCCATGTGGCATGAAGATCTATGTAGCCCCATCTAAGGCTTTGGTACAGGAGAAGCTTCGCGATTGGAACCAGAAGCTCGGGTCATGGGGGATAAACTGCCTGGAGCTGACAGGTGATAATGAATCTTACAACATAAGGAGTATACAAGAAGCGGACATTATTCTAACTACTCCGGAGGTCAGTCATAAATAAATAATGCTTATGCATTATTTTTAAAGGGAAATTGCATTGTCTTTTTCTTTTTATCTGTTTGATTTTGAACCTTATTTTTGGAGCATGGCTGAAAGAAGCTTCTGTCCTTTTTGTAGAAGTTTGATGCAGTGACTCGGTACAGCATAAAAGATGGTGGCTTAAGCTTTTTCAGTGATATAGCACTTGTACTTATTGATGAAGTTCACTTGTTGAATGATCCACGTGGAGCAGCTTTGGAGGCAATAGTAAGTAGAATAAAAATGCTGTCTCGCAACGCAGAACTGAAATCAAGTCCTCTGGCTTGTGTCCGTTTCCTTGCTGTTTCTGCTACTATCCCAAATATTAATGACCTCGGTATGAAAGTGCTGATAATGAAATAACTAGCATAATTCCAATTTATTTTGTAATATTCGTCTTTAAAGTTGACAAAAAATTTAATAAGCAGAACATACATTTTAACTTTTGCAGCGGAATGGCTTATGGTTCCTACCCAAGGAATTAAAAGGTACATTTTAACCCTATTATGTGATGGATATACTTCTTTTTATATTTAATGTCACTACCCATTTAGTTCTACACGGCTGTCATTTTCTCCACAGGTTTGGAGAAGAAATGAGACCTGTAAAGTTGACAACCAAAGTTTTTGGTAGATATAAAATCCTTAGTTCCATTATCAATTTTCTAAGCTCTCTCTTTCTGGTAATGTTTAAATCCATGATAGTACAAGTTCTAGGAAATGATTAACAAGCTATGTTGTTGTTTGCTTCACGTTGCTCTACGCATGTCGCAATTTGAATGACTAAAGTGAATGTATAATATCATATTTAATGTCTGTATGAATATATAAGACATTATATATTATTGACTGTTGGCCCTTTTATTTATTTGTTTATCATGGCTATCCTTGCCTGCAGGCTACACCCCTGCAAAAAATGACTTTCTATTTGAAAAAGTGAGTGCTCATATTCTTTCATTTTTGGTCATCACAAGTTATGAATAATTTACATTTTTTGATTTCTTTGCAATTCTGTTAACTGCAACTTTGCTTAGTCATTATTTGCATGTTGAACAATTTTCATTTCCTGATGGTTATTCTATCTTTCCTTTATCCAGCGCCTACAGAACTATATTTTTGGTAAGCAGGATATGCTTAACTTACTCAGCAAAATATTGTTCTCTTTATTTTTGTTTGTTATGACTATAGTAAAATATCAGGAATATTGAATCTACAAAACTGATTTACAGATATTCTCATGCAATATTCTAGAGGGAAATCTGCCCTCATTTTTTGCTCAACTAGAAAAGGAGCACAAGAAGCAGCACAACGACTCTCTCAGATTGCAATGACCTTTGGTCATTCAAATCCATTTATTAAAAACAGAGAACAGCAAGAAAGGCTACGGGAAGCTTCACTATCTTGTGGTGACAAACAAATGCAATCATATATCCTCTATGGCGGTATGTGGTAATTTTTCCTACTGTGGAATTCTAATTAGTTAATAATTGTTACTATTTTTCATGAATTAATCTTGAAATGAGATTCAGGTTATTGTTTAGTTAATTGATTACTTTTTCACAGTTGGTTATCACAATGGTGGGCTCTCCCTAAAGGATCGTAACTTCATTGAAGGTCTTTTTCTTCATGGTGATCTTCAGATTCTGTGCACCACAAACACTCTTGCCCATGGAATCAACTTACCAGCACATACCGTAGTGATCAAATCAACACAGCACTTGTATGCTGAACTATTTGTCTGATAACTTTGCTATTAGAACACTGATGATCTCTTTTGTGTTTAATCCATTTAACTTGCTTCTTCACCAGCAACAAGGAAAAAGGGCACTACATGGAATATGACCGGTCAATGATACTGCAGGTGTCGCTTGTCTTTGAGAATCTTTTGAATAATTTTGTTACTTTTTTTCTGTAAATATAATTTATGTAATCTGTGAAAAATATCTATTGTGTTCCCCGACTAGAGAAGTCATTTTTGGAGGAGAAACTATGTGTCTGTGGGATCTGCATGCCCCCTGGTTAGAACCTGCAAGGGGTCCAAATGGGTTGGCAAGTAATACTTTTGTCAATGCTAAAACTTATAAAGGTCTGTGAGTGATCAATGAACATAGACATGATATTCATGGACATAGATTGCACTTGTACGAACCACATGCAGATCTTCACTTTTCAATATTTTAGCTACTTTTGATCTCTAATCAAAAGTTAATCAGCTTTTTGGTTATGTAGATGAGTGGAAGGGCAGGCCGTCCACCATTTGATGATACAGGGATGGTTATTATCATGACAAGAAGAGAAACAGTAATTTAATCTCTCTCTTTCTCTCTATATATATGTATATCTATCTATCAATCAATCTTCTGCATGAAACATGCACAATGAACTTATGTCTTGCTTATGTAATTGCTAGATTTCATTATGGAAAATGGTATTCGCACTCCATAAATGCATTCTCACACTCCAATTGCTCTTTTATTTTTTAATTGACACAATTGTCCCTCAAAATCATTCTCACACTCCGCAAACGTACTTTTGAGGAAAATTGTGTCATTTTCTTTATTAAATAAATCAAATGGATTATGAGGATAGTTTTTCTTGAACTGCAAATATAACTTCCCTTTATTTTTCATGTTTTTGTTAGTTTTCATGAAGTACTTCTTGGCCAATTTCAATAGTTCCTTTACTTCTTTATTAAATATTTTGTTATCTATTGCTTGGTAATATTGCTTTCATATGATGTTAGGTCCATTTGTATGAAAATCTTCTGAATGGATGTGAAATGGTCGAATCACAGTATGTTTATAATCTTTCAACTCTTATTCTTATGGTACACTAGAATTTATATACATCACATTAAAATAAAAACGCATGTAATCTGACTAGGTATTTTACCTGTTTGCCCTTTCTCTTTAGACTGCTCTCATGCATCACAGAGCATCTAACTGCAGAGATAGTTCAACTGGCTGTCTCAGATATAACACGGGCAATTGAATGGCTGAAGTGCTCGTTCTTATATGTGAGAATGAAGAAGGCATGTTCTAATTCATATACCTTAAGGAAATCTTTTGGATATTCTTTTTTAGTCAATCACATTTATGATACTGATAATGCAAAATCAGAATCCTGAGAATTATGCATTAAAGAGAGGGATTCCTAGTGACCGTATAGAGAAGCATATGCAAGGTACAGTGGTAAATACATTGGTAAAGTTTTTAAATATTTACTCCATCCCCACTGCTTGATGAATCTTATGTTCTGCCAGAGATTTGTGTTCAGAAAGTCAACGAGTTAACACAATATCAGATGATCTGGACTGATGAAGATGGATTCCTCTTGAAGCCACTTGGTATTACAGACTCGTGAAATAGTATCTTGCACTTACATGTGCTAGAAAAATATTTTAAACTTAATTCTAATATTTCCCGACTTCTTTTCTTCAGAGCCTGGAAGGCTGATGACAAAGTATTATTTGAAATTCAACACAATGAAACGCATTATGCAGTCCCCTACAAACTGCAGTGTAGAAGATGCACTTCATATAATTTGCCTTGCTGAAGAAATTACCTGTATGTTTCATGTGCTGACAGCAATTTTTGAAGTAACAAAATTTTGGAGTGACATTTCATTTTTGCTGGAAATTAAGGGATACAGCTCAGGCGAAATGAAAAGAAGCTACTAAATGACATAAATACTGATAAAGATGGCCGGCTTCGCTTTCACATCCTTGACGGTAAAGGGAAAAAGAAAAAGCGTATTCAAACCAGAGAGGAGAAGATATTTGTGTTGGCAAATGACTGCTTGACTGGGGACCCTTTGGTGCATGATTTATCCACGAGCCAGGTCTAATCACCTCAAAATTTTATAATGTACTATTTTCTTCAGCTCAAAGCTTTACTTACCAAATAATGAACCAGTTTACATTGCTATAGGACATGAATTCTATATGCTCAAATGGGTGTAGAATTGCCAAGTGCATGAAGGAGTATTTTATTTATAAGAAGAACTACAAAGGAGCTTTGAACTCAACTCTTCTAGCCAAATCTTTACATCAAAAGCTATGGGATGACAGTCCATACTTGCTGAAACAATTACCTGGTATTGGAATGGTGACTGCAAAGGTTTGCTTTACGCTCGTTAGTTGAAAAAATTCGATATCTTAATCTTGATTCATACAAATTTCTGATTTTGCCTCCTTACATCCATACTATTCTATCCAGGCTCTGCATTCAATGGGAGTGAAGTCTTTTGAGACCCTTTCTGAAGCTGACCCTAGAAAGATAGAGATAGTTACTGGTCGAAAATATCCATTTGGGAACCATATTAAGGAGTCACTACTGTCACTACCCTCAAAAGTGGAGATGAAGGTTGAGGAAGCTGACTGCCATAGGCAAGGAAAGGCCAAGCTAATAATAACATTGACTAGGCTAACAGAATCGGCACAATCAACCAAACGACAATATGCCGATATGGTATGTGACCAGGAATATTTCTGTGCATTTGCTTTCGGAACAAAATTAGTGATTCATTTAGGGAACTAAAAATGAGTTTTTTTTTTTTTCCTTACAGGTTGTTGGTTTAGAAGAAGAAAATCTTATTGTCTTTCATGAGAAAATAAGGTGATGTTAAGTTGTTTAGAGTCAGTGATTGGACATTAGAATAATTCCTCAATCAAACTGAGGGATCCTCATCAAAACAATGTCATACATTGTCATTGATTTGGAGTAACCACCAGTGTGTGCTTTAGTTTCTAAGGCTACATGCCCAGTATCATCCATTCATCCCGATTCTTTATGTTAATGTTCTACTCTATAGCATTCTTTTTCTACAATCAGGGTATACTTCATGAGTAGTAGTCCAAATTTTGTTAATGATTTTAAATAGTTTGGCTGTTACTTTGGCCTGGAAACTTGCTACATGATCTGCATTGATTCATTTGTTCAGCTATTGACCCCTTGGTTTATTACTTTATTCCATTCAACATGAACATAGTGAATAACTACTTTGATTTGGTTGCAGCAGAGTGGAAGAGTTTTCCAGGTACATAAACTTTTAGTTCCTGCTCCTATTTTTTATTTGACACAACAAAACATGTTGAGGCAGTCCTATGGCATGCCAAGTTGCCAACCATTTTATGAAAAATTGGGATTCATTAAACACATTGTTTTTAATGGATTTGGAGGCTAATTTTTTATATAATGTAAACCTGAGGTTATTGGTCTTCTCTGCAGCCCTTATAGTGCAACAATTCTACTATCAAAGCCTCAGCAAGGAAAACTGACTGTTAAGGCAGATCTAATTTTTGAAGAATTCAGTAAATTCCATCCTGATCTACTAGAAACGTATATTTGTATCTACTGATACTGAATTTTAAATTTGTCAGATTCATTTCATATTGATGTTCATGCAGTTGGTATTGATCTCCATCAAAAACTTGTACCAATGAATGAGTGCGACTCAAATGTGATCTATAAACGTGGAATTAAGCAGCCTTCCATTTTTCCTGACCCCAAGGATGTGTGTGTTATAGAAGATGACACTGATACTATATCTCGAGCTCCAACCACAGAACTCCATAATTCAAATCAAACCAAATGGAAGAGCAATTCCATGTAAGTGCCAGCTCTTTTTTTTGTTCCTGAAATTGCTACAATTTATAATGGTTAGTCTTTGAGTTGCTGTTGAATGAACCATTTGGTTTTCCAAATCCAGGCCTAGTTTCAACCTCCTAGATGAAGAGTTGGAAGAAGGTATAAACTAAGAGTCAATTCTCTGCAGTTTTCATACGTTTCTCCGTTTTTTCACCCATTACTACTGCTCTCTCAAATTTCCGAAGGTGCACCGACTGTTGAAACTGAAGATGATGATTGCAAAATTATAACTGAAAGAACAGTATTTGAGCACATACGTGAAAAGGCCAAGACATTTCCTCTCTTGGCTGCATCAAATAATCTATCTTCTCCATCGTCTGAGGCCTTGGTTCTCATCAGAAAGCGTTCTCGCGAAAAGCAGCTTGAACTGGATAATACTATAGAAGTATTTGAAGTAACGGAGAGAAATAAAATTCCTCGTTGGACTATTGTAATGCCATCTTCAGAACCAAAAGGGGTAGAACAAAGTAGAGATGATATTGGGAAAGATCCGACTCCAAAGCGCCATATCAGCCCTGGTACTGTTACTTTGATGTGTATTCTTTTTATCATTATTTGCATCTTTTATGAAACTCTAACCACAAACTATATTTATTCAAGGAAATCTTTCTCCTGAACCTGAAGAGAGCTTGTCCAAAATGGCAACCGAAGAAACAATATTTGAACACATACAAAGGAAAGCTAAGAACTTCCCAGTGTTTGACAAATTGAAGGCCCTGCAGTCCAAGTCTTATGCACGAACAAATGAACTCTTTTCCAAGCACCAGCCTGTGATCAATTTAGATCCAGAACCCGAGGAAGTGGGAAACACTGTTGATAGAAAGGAAACCGCAAGGGTTATGAAGAACATGCTTTGTGGAAGCTCTCGTGGCGCATGTGGATATATGGACATTTATCCAAACATTTCAAGCAGTGACGCTGATCTGACATCAATCAAAATGCCATCTCTCGGTACTCCCTCTTTAAAGAAAGAACTGCAGTTGACAAACCTGGGAAACTTCATGGAGAGTAGTGGGAAGCAGCCATACTCTCCAAATTTATCAGGAAAACAGTGCTGTTCACTGGTGACGTCCGGTGAAACCAGGAAAGTAGATTCCTTCCTTGGGTTTAAGAGCGTTTTTTCATTTCTATGATTGCTTTTCAACAGTAAATAGAGAGGCTACATAAATATTATGGCATCCCTAGATTCCGTTTTTACACTTTTCACGAGTATTTTCATTCCATTGCAAAAGACGGGAGGGAGTAAAGCTTCTCACTGTGCAGCACAGTGCAGCAAAACGTGTTGTAATTTCATGAATGAGTTGCTCCACTTACAAAGGTACGTTTCCTTTACAGAGTCTGAAGTAATATTTTATCAATCTGTTTCAGAAGTTCACTACATGTTGAGCACAGATCAAATATAAGAATGCTCCTGATAGATGGAAATTTTGAATGAACCTTACAATGCCAGAGGTGTTTTATGATCTCATGTGCTCCATCTCTATCAGTAGTAGAATGAATGGTGCTGATAAAACAGCATATAACGAAAGAGGCTAAATGGCATTGCAGATCCTAGTACATCCTATTGTGGGGTTGTGCATTTAATGTACCAGATTTTAAATCAAAGTGTTGAACTTTTGAAAACACAAGTGCAACCATCAACCAGTATGTGAAGTGTGCTGCATTTGAAACCCTGAACATGTTGGGATTTATTTTAATGCGACATTACATGTTCATATAAATATATCATGATTGGATTTATTTTAATGCCAGCATATAAACGCTGAATGACCATTGAAGTTACCTTCATGAGAAGGTGGCATATAGACATTACATGTTTCTTGCTGTAAAACCTTTGAAAAGAAATAAAGTGCTTCTCCAACCAAGATGGACAAATCATTTACTGCATTTAACACCCTGAACATGATTGGATTTATTTTAATGCCATCATATAAACACTGAATGACCATTGAAGTTACCTTCATGAGAAGGTGGCATATTTTAAAGGCCCTCTTCTAGATTGTGCTACTGGAAAACAGTTTTTAAGAAAAGTGAAATTATAAAATAATTTTCATTAGCCGTGGAAAGTTGGAAACTGAAAACAACTAATAAGTGTATTATCTGAAATTGGAATTTAAAAAATAAAAAATAAAAAATAAAAAATAAAAAATAAAAAAATACTCATTTTCAGGAACATGTTGAAAATACTCAGCGCAGAGAATTTTCAAAGTGTTTTCTTTGAGAGCATAAAGCCATTTTCTGAAAGTAGAACCAAATAGGAACTTTTTCCGTGTTTATACTTATGGGCAAAGTCATACCAGTTCACAAACTAGGAATGTGGTTTTTGCATGATTCTGAACAATGCGTTCATATAGTGTATCAGAGAGGCACTTCAGCTTATTGTTTTTTTTTCCCTAAATCTTTAGCTTATTGTTTATTTTCCTAAAATCTTGAATTGGGACTAAAAACTCAACCCTATAGAAAAATTGTAGTGTGAAGGATTCAATGTTGTCCTCTATATTTGTATGATAAGGAAAATAATAATAATAATTAAAAAAAAATTGTTCAGTGTAGTCTATAAAAATAATTACTTTGTATAAAATAATGTCAAATATTAAAATGTATATAAATTATCCTATTAACAGAGAATACACATAAAAAAAAAAAAAAAAAATAAGTTCTGGTCTTACGGTACTCCACATGAGAGGAACAGTCACATTCTTCTTATCTCTCATGGTTGCAGTGTCTATGCCATTTATTGTAGAGAGAGGTCCAAGTTTTGGCCATCAACTCAATGCAAATGGTCCCAATAAACATCAAGCACAAAGCTGAGTTGGAAAATAATCCAAGCCGTTTGTTTATGGATCCACTACTACTCTACCTACAAATACAATGTCAAAAAAAGGATGACCCACACGTCAATTAAATTATTTTTACGCATGTACACTGATTTGCTGCGTAACCATCGCAATGCCAAATGGCATGTGGTTGTTATGCCATCACAATAATCATTTACTCTGAAACTACCAACCGTCTGTATTCTTATTAAATTCAATTGTCAACAGAAAAAGCATCACCATCAAATATATCCCACTAAGCAACCGCCCAAATCACATAACTTTTGAGATGAAACAAGCATTTCAATGTGATTATGTGACAATGACAAGAGATGATGAGTAGGCATCAGTGCTGTCTGTTCTCAAATAAAACTAATAATTAAAAAAAAAAAAAAAAAAAAAAAAAAAAAAAAAAAAAACCTGGCCCCAACTCTGCTATTTTCTTGGCATCAAACTCAAAATTAACCATGAGCTACTTGTAATCGTGTACTCCGAATTTCCTTGCTTCTATCATTGGCATACACATCCCATTTCATCTCCCATGGAAGCTCCAATTCAAAGAGGTAAACAAATTGCAACAGATTGCTGTTCTCTTGCCAACATGCAGTAACGATATCAGATTTTTACTTCCTAAAGAAAGGTCATGAATTCGAACGGGTTCGAGATGACAATGTGCGAGTCCATTGCCTCCCCCTCCTCTAAAAAAAATAAAATTTGCTCTTCTATTCTCAAGAAAATCATGAAACCCTTGCTCTGAAACCTGCTTTGTATGGAGCTGTAAATTTGATGCTGTCAAGTTTGCATTAGTGTGTCCCTTTACACAACAGGGTACTTGATTGAATTTACTTCTGTTGTAGTTCTTGACTTTTTGATAGCCCGTCTGAAGTCTGCATAAAAGATGACTCTGTAGAGGTGTCTGACGCCTCAAGTTTTGCCAATATATTCGATACCAAACTGTTTATGCCGGAAGACCTAATGGACCTGTTTGGCTGCAGCATGCTAGCATTCAAATAAGGAGGTTGATTAGGAAGAGGCATTTCACAATCCTTGTTAGTCAGCATCTGAACTACTTCATCCATGGATGGTCTGCAAGCAACTGAAGCTTGTGTGCATAGAAGTCCAAGTTGAAGGACGCGGGATGCCTCCTTTTCTGGAAAATCATTTTCTAGGCACGGGTCAACGCAATCAGCCAATCTATCTGTCCTGTATAGCTTCCAAACCTGAGGCCAAAATGATATATATTCTCCCAAATCATCAAACAAAACTATGCAAAATCGAATTCTGTAGTATGTACGTTGTCACAAGGCTTTGGAAAGCATAATGCAGGAGGGATTTGAATCTTACTATGTGTAAAAGGGAACCCGAGTCCTCTATAGAGGCATTATTTGTCCTACCACAAACAATTTCAAGAACCAGCACTCCAAAACTGTAGACGTCTGCTTTCTCTGTTAATTGTCCTCGGACAAGGTATTCAGGAGCCATGTACCCTCTGCACCACCAAAAGACAAGCATTATAGGATGACAGAATAGAGGCATTACAGATGATGAATGAAAAAATAATGAAAGTGGTTTACTGGTTGATTGTTTTTTTTTTAATATAACGTAGATGAGAAGTGGGACAATAGACTAAATAGAAAATCATCTCTTACAGTGTTCCTGCAATTCCAGTGCTAAGATGAGTCTTATCAGCAGCAAAACATCGGGCAAGTCCAAAATCAGCAATCTTTGGGGTAAGATTCTCATCAAGAAGAATATTGCTGCTTTTAATATCCCTGTGTATAATTCTTACTTGAGAACCTCCATGAAGATAGGCAAGCCCTTCTGCTGTTCCTAAAACAATATTAAACCTCTGGTTCCAGTTGAGAATTTGAATCTTGTCCTTATCTGCATAAGTGAAAACGTATTATTACTGTGGTTGAGATATTGTTTTGTTGTTTACCTTTGATAGTTTCATAAAAATAAAAAATGTGATGTGAACAAAAACTCAGAATTTGCATATACGATCGTATTGAGGGGAAGAGATTACCGAAAAGAAACTGATCAAGGCTCTTGTTCGGTGCATACTCATAAACAAGGAGGCTCTCTGGTCCTTCAATGCTACAACCCAAAAGCTTCACTAGGTTCTTGTGTTGAATTCCACTTACCAAATTTACCTCATTGAAGAACTCATCTACCCATTGTCTTGAGTTGAAAAGCAATCTCTTAACAGCAACAGTTTTCCCACCGGGGAGTGTCCCTTTAAACACAGAACCAGCTCCTCCTTGGCCTATTTTCCTTGAAGAATCAAAATAATCTGTTGCTTTCTCTAGTGTTTCGTATTTGAAATTCAAACTGGACTTGTTATATAAAGTTGAAACCTGGCCGAGATTTTCACGTTCTACATGAATGCATGAAAATATTACTGAATCAGAATACTAATGATTGACAATTCATCAATGTAGCAATTGTTTTACTTCAGGTTATTACTTGATGTTGTGATAATGTTTAGGAATTATACCTTCTTTCAACTTTGAAAATCTTACATAGCCTGCATAAGCAGCAGACAGTGAAAGCATGAAGAAGGCTGCCCCTGCCAAAGCAATAGCTATGCCATACCCTATTAAAGAGTTCCCTGCCAAAGACACAAATTCTATTATCAATATTCTGACAATTGATCAAAGAATACCAACTTATAACTGAAAACTGGAATTAAAAATTTAATTGGGAAAAAAAATTAAAAAATAAAAAACCCAATCCATCCATAGATTGTAAACAGAGATGTGCATTCTTAGAAGGACATGAAATTGAAATTCACAAAAAGAAGAATTTGGTAATTTGTTAAGATTTAAGAGTGATACCTAAGCAGCTCTTGCAAGTTGCAAATAAAACATGGTAAAAACGCACACATACACAGACACTTGAGTTAGAGAAGACAATAGATAAAGGGGGAAAAATCACAAAAGGAGAGAACTCAGAGAAGCAGAAAACCGTAAGTTCTTAACCAAAGAATAGATCACCACCAAAAAAAACTCAGTAGTCAGCAAAATAATAAGACTTAAATAAACAAACATATATACCCATAAATAACTGTGGGATAAAACCATATATTGTGAGTACTAAAATCTAAAACCCATTATTTAAATGAAAATTTCATCTCAAAAACAATTTTATCTCAATTATATCATAAAGACATCATGCAATAGAGAATCATCCTAAGATCAACTCCATTCACTTCAGAAATTTTTATATGATCACAACATCAAAAAATTAAGCTTACCAGAATGTTTATTTACTTCTTCAGCCTCATCATTGTAGAATTTCTCCGTAGAATACCTCAAATAACAACCAGCATTTAGGCCCCTCCCTTCCTTACTCGGCACACATTTTCTCACCTCCTTACCCGCCTTCTCCAAACACTCTCTGCACCCATCCCTGCTCACAGTCTTCCAACACTGCGCCAAACCAAACACTCCCTTCGCCTCCACAACTCCAAACCCTTTGTTTGCCGCGGCAATTCTAGTCACATTATCAACCAAGTCTCCAACATTTTTCCTAAATTCGGAAGAGAAAGCTTCATCGCCAATTGCATCTCCATATGAACTGCTGCAATTCACCGAATCTCGAATTGGGTCGACACTTTCATTGAAAAAGCTATAGTTTTCGTAGCGTTGGAAGCAGCCATCAAGATAAATGCGAGCGGAGAGATGAGGGAGGCAACGGGGTAGTTTGGTCCGACTCGCTGCGTAGCAGAGGAGGCAATCAGTGTGAGAAAGGTCTTGGAAACATTGGGCTAGGCCGTAGATAGGTGGTGTTGAATTCGCTACGTTGTGACCCCAGTGATTAGTGGCGACGAGTTGTGAGAGAACTTCCATTTCTTTGACAAAGGTTGGGACGTAGTTGGTGTTTGGTGGCGGTGTGGAGTTGCCACAGAAGAGGCTGGCCACGGAGATTCGAGGATCGGACTGTGAGAGTGAGAAAAAATTGATGAAGAAGAAGAGGAAGAAGACCCATGTGAGATTTGAGGAAATGAGTGCTGAGAATTGCATAGAATTCAAATTGGGTAAACTGGAAATCTCATCTCTCTCTCTTGTTTCCATCTCTGGTTTCATTCTTTGTTTGTTGAGATCAATGTGGATGCTAAATAGAAAGCAGCAAATAAGAGACTAAAGGGCATCTGATGAAACTCAATTGGCTGCTGCATCTTGTTTTAGTCTCTTCTTCAGTGTTGTGTGCGTGAGAGAGAGGGGGGGGGGGGGGGGGGGGCGCAAGAGTAGCAACATATAGGAGCTACTTTATAGTGTTCCCACTGTAAAGTCATTTTCCGTACTTTTCCTTACTGACAAATAGCACTACTAATATTCTAAAAGACTTTTTTCCCGTTCCCACCAATTCAAGGGCAAGGGAAAGGCGAGTGGAATTTTTTTTGACAACTTTAATTTTACACGCTTTTAAAAAAAAAAAAAACTTTAATTTTTCGCGGTGAATATTTCCTTTTATTTGCAGGCTGGTAGCGGTCATTCTATATTTTGCCTTCTCAATTACTCTCGGAATTGGCTATTGGCCATACAAAAATGGGAGACAATTTCAGCTCCCACCCGCTAATAATGTCATTATGACAATTTCAACAAAATAATAATAATATTTTTTTTTATTTTTGTGATAAAAAATGATACTCCTTCCCTCTTAAATTAAATCGTTATTTTTTAAAAAATTTAAATTATTTTAAAGAATAAGTTTTAATATTTTTCTATTATATTGATAGTGAATAAATTATTAAATACGTAATATATTTACCGTTGAATTAATTTACTTTTTATAAATTTAATGTTTTTATGAATTCTCCAATTTATTATGTGAAAGATTATAAATCTAAGAAATTTCGTTAACTGACATCATAACGACGTTATATGGTAGGCCCATTCCCACTCAAATCAGTCCTTAAATTATTAACACTACCCAAGCACCCTGGCACAGCCCTTCGTCATTTTGGGGAATTGGTGGGACTTTGTTTGTAGCATGATTTTTTTCAAGTCGGTGATTGGAAACATACACAAACCGACCGAGTGTTGAAAAATGTGTGAGTTGGTTAGTTGCACCTAAAATCGCATTTATGTGCGATCAAAGGACACCTGGCTTACGCCCAAATTTCACATCTACATGACTTTTGCTCCACTTGATTTGGCGTTGTCTCTTCTTTTTCTTTTTTTTTTGATCAAAAAGTGTCTTATCCAATACTCTTTATCTCCTTCCACAATTACCCTTCCCCGATATTTTGTCATCCCACCAAATGAAATCTTTCTCAACACGATGATATAGGAGTTTATGACATATGTAAGTATCCATGTATTTTTAGCCGATATAGAATCAATACATTCATATAATCATTCATTAAGTTTAGTCGTATTTGTTTGGAGAGGCATAATTGTGTTAGCAGGGACATGAGAGATAAGTTATAGCATATGTGTTGTGGAACTGAAGGGTCACTATTCAGCTCTCATTTTTTAAGAAGATGTAAGCATTTGTTCTTGAATTGTGACCCGAATTCTCTTTTGGTCGGACTCATATCACAGTTATGAATTGAGACAAAAAAAAAAAAAAAAACCGACAAAATTGACTCGTTTTTTGTCTTGTAATTTGTCAATCCAAATTATAGTCTCTATTATAACATAATACATAAAACTATTAATATTTGTTCCATTACAATACTAAAAATCATAAAATAGCAAGAAAAAAAATGATATATTATCATTAGACTTTTGAGTGACTTGTACATCTCCTTTCTTCACTGTGAATATGACTTAAAAGTCAAGCTATAGTCAGGAGCGTGCCCCGTGGCCTGGCTCCGCCACATATATTAAATTTATGTATTTTTATATGTATATATGAAAAAATTCATATAATGCATTTTCTAAAATTTTTATTTTCTAAAACTATCTCTTAAATTTTGTATTTCTTCTATTTGTTACTCTTTAAATTCGTTTAATTTTTTTTTTAAAAAAAGGTCAAATTTTCCTTTTTGAATCAAAGTCTAATTTTTTTCCCTTTCAAAGTTTTCTTATTTTTCTTTCCTTTTTAAAATTTTTATTAATTATTATTATTTTTTAAATGACTCATTGATTGACATATAGATTTTTTTTTTTTTTTTTTCCTTCCCAAATATGGGGTTCAATTAAAGTCAAAGCACTCACAGATAGTGAGTGGAGTCTTAACAGTTAGCTAATTAGATCTTGAGAATTTTGGTTTATGATAGCTAAAGATATCATATTTTCCGCGGCCAAAAAGGAAATTATGCACCTAAAATCTTGTTTTATGGAAAGCGTTTCTGACTTTTGCTGTTAATGGTGGATGCGATTGTGATATATCTTGGTCGACAATGTAAAATGCATATAGATCTGAAACTATCATCTAAAAAAAGTGAAGCAATGTCACATTTCTTTATAAAATGGGTCAAATTAGAAAAAGGAGAATTGGAGTGAATGTGTTATTTTATAGAGTATATTGGTACCTTTATTTATTGGGAAAATGACTAGTCTTATTAAAAGACCCTTTCAATATAAGTGACTTGTTATGATATAATACCACAGTGAATCTCATGGCCTATTCTTTTCAAATCAGACGCTCAAGTAATTATTTTGTGAGTTTCAATGGTTTTTACTGTCATGTTTAACTTGGTGTTTTATATAAGGTTGATTCTAGATCAACTATTTCAATAATTTCTGTCCTATATTTCACTCGATGCAATTAGGTCAACTCGTCATCTAGCTTCTCACCTATTTTGTAATTCCCTTGTGCAAGTTAATATCGAGATTCTCCCCTATGATATAATGTTGAAAATTCTCTTTAGATTGTAATTATTCAGGCTTAAAATGATACAATAAACATATAAAATATATTAATGTTAAAAACACACAAAATAAAACCTGTTTTTGGTGCTTTTTAAAGAGCACGATCTAGTTTATATAAAAAAAAATAATAATAATAAAATAAAATAAAATATTCAACACAACTTAGTGACAAAAATTAAAATTCAACTTCATATCAAAGTAAATGTGATCATTTTACATTTTGTGATGCGAAATTATCAATTAAAGTGTTACAATCAAATTTCTTGAACATATCATCGATAGTAGGTAAGATCAATAATATATGCAAATTCAAAAATTTGAAAAACAATAACCTAGCATTTTTATAAAATCTAATACTTCAATTGACTCTTTTTTTTTTTCTTGGTAAAACTTCTTTTAAGAATTGTAATTCTAAAATTAATTTTGTTACATCAATATCAGAAACCATGCCGTCATTCCTTAATTTATAATGCCATACTTGCATTGTAAATATATATATTTTTCCTTAAAAAAGGAGAATGTGCATGTGAAATTGTAATGAAAGAGAGGAGAAGTGAAAGGAGAGGGATGTTTATGGTCACTTTAATGATTTCTTTTTTTATATCACTTTGATATCTATTATAATTCTTTATTTTTATTTTTTATTCTGAATTTGATTCTTAGGCCGTGGCTATATGGCCATAGAATTTAACATCATCTAAATTGAATGAATGAAAAAATATTTAAAATCATTTCTCGTAACTGTGATGTATAAAATATTGCTTCTAGTATCATTTTAGTATATTAACAAATATTTTTTTAAAAAAAAAATTCACGAGATACACGTTTTATTTTTATTTTTTTGTTCTTTCTGAATTTGAGACTGATTTTAGTATCATTTTTCTAAGATTATAATCAGCCCAGTCCACTTATTTAATGAATTCTTAAAAATCACATGAAAAAAAAAAAAAAAAAAAACTCAAATTAAATGAGTGAATGATCAGTGAGGTTGGAAGTAACCCAAAACATTAATTAACTAGAGACGAGACACAGACCAATAGATCTTTTCATAACTAAATAGGTAATTATGATATTTGGAATAAAAAATTTTTATTTAATTATAAAATTTGAGGTTGAAGTGTCCTTTTCTTTAACAGTGGAGTGCAATTGTAAAAAAATATTTTCAATTTTCTTTTGAAGGGAGAAGATAGAAACAAATTATTGTTACCATACAAATTATTGTATTATCTATATAAATTGATATTATTAGTACATATGTTTATTGTCATATTTTTTTAAAAGTTATTTATTTTCATAAATTTACATGATATATAAGTGTATATTGTCTTTTAATTATGAAAATTATGGTGTAAAAGTAGCGATATTTCAAATATATATCACTATAAATGCATTATGACCCTAAATTTAAGGTCTTTCTAAATTGGAGTCCCTGCCTTGGTTGCCTTGCCCCAGGGTCGGCCTTGATTATTTAGGTAATAAAATTTGTCTTTGACAGGACAAAAGAAAAAAAAGAAAGAATTAATCCATATTGTTTTACTTTTTTCTTTTTCCTTTTTCATTATATTTTTTTAAATTATAAAAAATACCTGTCACATTGATATAATGGCAGGTCAATTATTTGTCGACAGCCGTGCAATATTCTTTAAGGGTTCGTTACCTCATGATTCATTAATGTATTAAAAATAGTAATAATAATTTATTTTAGTGTCAAATGTCTACTGATTAAAGCCACATGGAGGATCAAAATGATGCTTGAATCCATTTTATATAACAATACTCCAATAAGCTTTAATCTCGCTTGTTCAAAGTTCAAACTTTAGGCCCATTTATTGCGTCTCTTTTGAGTGGAATTGTACGGAGTATTACTGATTGGTCAGGCCAACACTACCCATTTGGAAGCATTAGCGACTGGGACACAGTCACACTCCCACCATCTCACTGTGTATCAGATATCACTGTATCGTCGCCCATTATCTCTCTATATATGCAGGACGGTGCCCTATGATATAACCGTGTCATCGCCCATTCTCTCTCTATAAGCAGGACGGTGCCCTAGGGTTCGGGGGAGAGAAAACAAGAGAGAGAGAGATGGCTATGTTAAAGGCTAAGGAGATCGTTTCCACCAATCCAGTCGTCGTCTTCAGGTCGATCTCTTTTTTGATCTATCTTTGTACATGTCTATACCTAATTTATACTAAATCTACAAATCTATTGATTTGATTCGTTGATCTTCTGATGTATGGATTTATGTATGGGTCGGCAGTAAATCGTATTGTCCGTACTGCGTGAGCGTGAAGAAGTTGCTCACAGAGGTTGGAGCCACTTTCAAGGCTATTGAGTTGGATACTGAAAGTGAGTCCTCTCTCTCTCGCTCTATATATATATATATACTCGTAATACGTTTATGTCAATATTTATGTGTGATATATTCACTGATTCTTGTATAATCATTTTAGTCAGTTTCATATTAATCATGAATGAATTGGAGAATAGTGTAGTATATATGTTTGTAGGAATGGCTTGAATTCTACTTTAGCAATACTATGGATGAGGAAAAAAATTATTGGGAGTTGGGACACAAATTAATTTTTTTTTATAAAATAGATGCATAGGAATTAGGGATCAAATTACTTATTAAAAAAAAAGAGATGCATAGGGATTCAATGATTTATTCATTGTGTCTAATTCACATGGCATGAATAACTAGATATCCATAATTACTTATCAAAGAAAACTAGATATCCATAATTGATCACGAAGGCCTTGCATAAATGAGGCTCATTTCAAATAATTCTAAAGACGGTCTGTTTGAAGAACTTATGATTGAGCCATTGAAATTCCCTTTTTGTCATCTTCATATTGTGTAATGATATCTACCTTTGTGGAAATGGCTTTTTTACTCTCTATGGGACTACTCGAGCAATTCTATCAATTACTTTTAAGTCTTTGTAAAGTTAATAATTTTCAAAGAATTTTTCTTTTTTTTGGACATAAATATAAGATTTATAAAGATTTATTCCTCATATCTAATTCAGTAGAGATCGTTTGTATTAATCATGGTAACAAAATATTTATAATTCCATTGGGCTGTTGGCTCACAAGGACCTTGTTATAAATGAGATTATTTCATTAATTGGCATTTTCTTTCCGATTCACCTGATCTATATATGTGTATGTATGTGTGTCTATATATATATATATATATATATGCAGGGATAACACATTTCAAAAAGTACTCTTTCAATGGTGCTTCTAATTTGTTGTTGTTGGTTGGAATGATTAATGTTTTTGTTGGTGTTGCATCATGTAATATGTATATGTATTAATACAAAATCCCCATAGGGATGTTGCACGATTATGTGAAGATTGAATGGCTCTGTGTTGTAAAACATTTTCAAATGTATGAATATGTTATTGCGAATGGGCCAATTACAAATAATAGTTTTCACCAACCATAAAGCTAAAGTCGAATGCTACCAATAAACAGTGATGGTACCTCCCAGTCTTTGATAACTCTCCATTTAAAGAAAATCCAAGGATAATCTCTTCAAAAAAGGGTATGATTAAGTGCTCAAATCCCTCTGTTTTCCCCCTCCAAATGTGCCTTTTTTTGTAGCTTTTTATAAATCTGATGCTACCATGGATGGTCATTTAGTGAATGGGACAGTAGGCTAGTACCCATGGGTTATATGGATCAACAGCTTTGACATTGGTATACATAGAGGAGATATTGTTGTCAACTTGCATGGTTCATCACTTTGTGCATTTGTACAAGCAAAAGCTTTGTGTGTGTGTGTGTGTGAACAATATAATGTGCATATGCAATGATCAATTACAAATCTGCATATTTTACATTTTGAAGGCGATGGAAGTGAGGTACAGTCGGCATTGCGAGAGTGGACTGGACAGCGGACCGTGCCAAATGTGTTCATTGGTGGCAATCACATTGGGGGCTGTGACGGTATGGCCTATATCCTTAACCACAATTGTTGCCATTTCAAATGTAGTTGTTTCCTTTCCTGTGTTAATATACTCTCTTTCTGTGCAGCAACAACTGGTATGCACAATCAAGGAAAGCTCGTCCCTTTGCTAACCCAGGCTGGAGCTGTTGCGGGTGGAGCTGTTGCGGCTGGAGCTGTTGCCAAATCGTCTTCCGCCTCTTAAATGAGTCAAGTTATCTGCTTCAAGTTGTCTGCTTTGATGACTGTAGTAAATGATATATAATAAATGAACATCTGAGGTTTATCATTTTATGCTGTTTCTGTCTGTTATGTCTTACTGTGTTCTAAGCTCATAAACTAATTGCCTACTTGATAAAATAAAATAAAAAAATTTGTCTACTCGATTGTTTTATTGCTTCCTAAGTCTTAAACCTGAATGGCGTATCTCAATAGAGGCTTCCATTTTAGGAAGCACAGGTTAGAAGAAGCTGTAAATCTGGATTAAAAAAAAAAAATAATTATTTCGTGTACACACACACACACACACACAGCTGGAGAGTCCCTGCAACTCCAATCTCTACTGGTTATGACCAGTACTTACAGCTTTGTGGATTAACTTTGAGGTAGGTCACCTTGTTCCTAATAGTGAGATACAATACTTATATCCCATCATCAATCTTAAGCAGTTGAAATTGAACCCAACCTTTCTATAAGTTTGCTCGGTGTATGCGCGTTACACCTCAATACCTCATCATAAACTTTCATCGTATCTTTTTTTAATAATCTTTTTTATTTTTATAATATTATGTATCTCACTAAATGTCATATAAAATTATTTATTTTAAATTCTTATAAAGTAAAAACCAAAGAAATAAAAAATACTCGGCCAATATAAATTTATTAAACTTATTATACCATTTAATAAAAGTAAGGAAATTTTTTTTTTTTTTGAAAGGTTAAGCAAACACACAAGTCTAACTCACACAAAAGTTCAATGAAAAAAAACATGTTAAGCCGTTTGAAAAGTAAGAAAAACAAAAGTTTGAGATGAAAATTTTACATTCTTAATTTTTTTTTTTTTTTTTAAATACACACCGCACTCATGCCTTCAAGGTGGTTCAAATACCCAACCTCCCCTTAGGGGAGGAGAGTTTGTATCATCTCGGTTATTATCTATTTGGTAAAATAAGGACAATTTAGACAAATAATATTCCTTTGGTTCTAATATAAATGTCCACCTTTCTGTTCTTGAAAGTCCTAACAAAATATATATAAAAAATCAAAGTACTATTTTTTGTAACATTAATATCTTAATTAAAAAGTCAAAATATATATATATATATATATATTTGGTAACATTACCAATATAACCTTTTTACATTGCAAAAACTATTAGGTATAAATTTGATAATTGATTCACTACCAATACAATAAAAAGTTAGATTCTAAAAAAATACTCATTCTGTCCCGAAATATAAGTCCTTTTTGGAGTTTGATGGTTGTGGAATTTTAGTAGTTTTTTTATTGTATTAATAAGAGTGACATTTTAGATATACTCTTGTTAAAAATCAAAATAATGATCGTAATTAGTGAACTTGTTTAGTTAAAAGGATAATTTGAAAATGTTATAAAAATAGTATATCTAATTTTGATATTAGACATGTTTTTTTGGGAACATTTCGAAATAGAAAGATGAACAAGTATTTAGGGGGAGAGAGAGCGAGAAACATTTATTTTGGGAGGGAGTAATTTTCTTGTAAATTGTCCAAATCTTGAAATATCCTACAATTGTTTAGAAAATTTTCTAAGTATAATTCATTCGCTTCACTTTCCTTAAATAGAATTTTCATCTAACAAAACCAAAGAAAAAAAAAGCTAAATGAAGAATTTTTAATGTTAAAAAAAAAATTGATGGTAGGCTTTTATACAAGTTTGAAGTGTTTAATTTTCGGATCAATGTTGATGCGGTGGTTGAAACTTGAAGTGCTATTACCATTTACACTTTTTTTTTCTAAAAAAAATTGTTGGATATTACTTATAAACTTTTTTGTTTTTTTCCACGTTTGGCAGACTGCCAGATAGACACAGAATATTCAAATTTTAAACATGTACACCTGGGAGGGAGAGAATATTATTATTACATTTATGGCTTGTTTAAGTCGGTGGCAAAGATTGCTCTCCCTCTCTCTCTTCTATATTTAGCGTATTGTTCGGATTTCTTGAACCGAGTATTGAGAGAGCTGCTCGCTGCTCGCTGCTCGCTGCTTGCTCTAGTAGCCGCAGCAAGTGCCTCCTTTCTAGACATTTCAAAGGGAAACAAGAAAATCATAGTCGCTTTCGCTTTCACTTTCACTTTCACTTTCTTGGTGTTCTTACTTGCCAAAAGATACTAACAATGATTCATTCCCAGAAATCATGTGAGTCTCACCGTCCCCTTTTCCTGTTATCTTGACGATTTTATATGCTGAATTTTTCTCATATTTTTTTTTCCTCGTAATTCAAGATAAATGGTAGTAATATTTTGATTTCAATTGGAATTGGGTTTAGGGTTTCCAATTTTCTTTTTCCCTTTTGAATCGAATCAATTTAAAATGGGGCAAATGTTTTCAATTTTCGGAATTCAAGAAAAATGTTGTATTGACATTCATCAGCTGCTGCCTGAGGATGTGGTTATTGAGATCCTCTTAAGGCTGCCCGTGGAATCACTTATTCGGGCAAGAGCAGTATGCAAAAATTGGTACACTATAATCATAAACCCTAGTTTTGTCACTAAGCACTTCAACCACCACACCAACCCTGATCGTCTTTTTGTTAACCATTTTGACAACATTTCCAAGAAATATTTTTTGTCATTGTACCTTGATGAAACACTCTCGGCCAGTTCTGCCCCGGTGTATCAGGATGTGGTGGTGGATATGCCCTACCACCTAGGGGTCAGTCACTATAAGGGCATACTGTGTCTGTACAATCACTATCGCTGTGCTCTGTGGAATCCCGCAACCGAAGAATTTAGGTTCCTCCGGGTACCCCCTCTTAACTTTCCACCCAATGTGGTGATTTTCCAAGATGCTTTTGGATTTGGTTTGGATCCCATTACTAATGATTACAAGGTAGTTTGGATTTTGGACACTGCGGATGAGGTTAGACATATGATGTGTGATCGTAAGGTTGCTGTGTATACTCTATCTACTGATTCCTGGAGATATCTTGATGTTGATTTGCCTCATTCTGACATTGAGACCCCTCAGTCTAACACATGCATTAATGGTGTTTATCACTGGCTTACATTTGTCTACAAACATCTTCCCGTGATCCTTTCATTTGACATGGGGAATGAGTTGTTTCACGAAATACGTGATGTTCCAATTCTAAGTTCAGTCCGTGCTGTTCTTGCAACGTACAATAACTCTCTTGCTCTGATTAGTTATGATTGTCATTCTAATTTCCATCCAATTGTTGACATTTGGGTGATGATGGAAGAAGGGTGTTGGACAAAACAATTGACTTTTGAAATCCGTAATGAAGTGGGATTGCCGATGGGGGTTTGGAAGAACCGTCAGCTTATTATGCAAACTGATGGTGAGGATGGTCATGTGGCCTTGTATGATCCAGAGACTCATGAAATTAAGGATCTTGGATCCCGGATCTGGGCTGAGTGCTTGGTCTACAGGGAGAGCCTAGTCACAATCAAGGGCGGAGATGGGTTCCTAGAACAGGATCAGAAGTTGTCTGATGTAGATCAAGTGTTAAACTTTTCTAATAGCTAACTTTAAGCTGAAAAACACCCTGCCATTCCAGCTGATGAAGATTTTGGAATTTTTGGTTTATATCTCATCCCATATGAATCTATGTTTTGGTGCAACAACAATGGCCAAGAAAGAAAAAGGGGGAAACTGTGTGCACAACTAAGGGTAATGTGGCATCTCATTTTATCAGTTTTGTTTTGGTGACCAGTAAACTTATTTATGTCAGTGTATTCTATTTTTATTGATTTTGTTATAATCGTTTTAGTCAATTTCCATATTAATCACGTGGAATGAATTGGAGAATCATGTTTTAATATGTATGCTTGTATAAAAATGACTTAATTCTCTGTATGGGGACTAGTTTATCAACCTATGGATGAGTTTCCACATAACATTATTTTGGACGAAAATTTTGTGGGGGAGTTGGGACACAAATAAATTTTAGATGTATAGGGATTTAATGATTTATGCATTGTGTTGGGATTGTTTGATCAAGACCTTGCATAATTTGGACATATTTTATTTTTTATCCCGCCAATCACAGTTGCCTTCACTTTCATGGTCTTCTTACTTGCCAAAAGGTACGAACACAAGATGAAACACTAGCCGGTTCTCCTCAGGATGTGGTGGTGGATATGCCCTACCATCTTTTTGCCAATCCCTGTAATGGGTATGCGCAATCAAACCCTTCCTTTTGCCCTCTGGAATCTGGCAACCAGAGAATTTAGGTCCCTCCCCAAACTCTCTCCTAACTTTCCACCTGATATGCTGAGTGGCCATGAAACTTATGGATTTGGTTTTGATCCCATTACCAATGATTACAAGGTGGTTTCGATTTGGAACACTTGGGATCCTTTTAGAGAAATAATTAGTCCTTACAAGGCCGCTGTGTATACCCTATCTACTGATTCCTGGAGATATCTTGATCATGTTGCTTTGCCATATTCTATCATTCACACCCCTCAGTCTAACACATGCATTAATGGAATTTATCAGTGGTTTGCGATGGACAATGACCGCCATCCTGTGATCCTTTCATTTGACATGGGCAATGAATTGTTTGATGAGATAAGTGATATTACTCCATATTCAAAACATGCAGTTCTTGCACCCTACAATAATAATTCTCTGCCTCTGATTAATTATGATTCATTTTCAACTGTTGACATACGGGTGATGATGGAAGAAGGGTGTTGGACAAAACAATCAACTCTTCAATTCCCTCTTTTAAGCTCTCCCTGTTGTTTGTGAGATTTTTGAGCCGCGTATATATGACAATCTTAATAAACCTGTCCTAATACGTAGTACATTTTAAAATTCTATTTTAAACAAAAGGGCTAGAATATGGTTTGCTTAAATTTTCATGGCGTGGGTATGTGTATGTGTTGATTGCATTTGTAACTCTCCTTGTAAATAAAATCAAAATGCAAGGATAATTAATTCCTTTGATAAAACTATGTATGATTAAGCTACTAAAATTCCTCTGTTTTATTTATTTATTTATTTTTTTCAGATGTGCCTTTTTGTAACTCTTTATAAATCTGATGCTACCCTGTATACTGAATGGAGTGACCAAGTTATTCCGAATTGGAATTTGCTTTCGCATTGTTTACACACATGCACGAGTGTGTGGCAAAATTATTTTGACAAGTTTCCTAAACATATAACAAAAATAGAATCAAAATTGGTTCAACCGATTTTTATTTAATTTAATTGCATCTTTTATATCATTAGATGCGCCAATGCGCCATTGTCCAGTAAAATGTATTTATATGTAAATTTTGATAAGAATAGCATAATATTATGTATCTCTTTAAATGTCTTGCAAAATTATTTGTTTAAATTCTTATATTATTTTTATTTTAAAAAAAGAAACAAAAAATACTTAGCCAATTTAAATTTAACAAGACATATTATCCTATTTAATAAATAAAAAAAAATTTAGAGCATCTCCAATGACATTTTTTAATTTGTTAAGTCATCGTTTTTGAAGAGTCTATATCAACTTTAGACTCTCCAAATTTTTACTACATAAGGTGTTACAACGGAGCACTTTCGCTTTTAAAAAATAATAATATATATATATTTTTTTGTAGGATTAGAGAATAGATATGGGTTGGACGTGAGATCAATGATGGTAGGGGTTGATGAATTTATAGAGGTGAAAAGAAAGGAAAAAAAAAAAATAGAGAATAGATACGGGTTGGATGTGAGATCAATGATGGTTGGGGTTGATGAATTTATAGAGTTGAAAAGAAAGGCAAAAAAAAAACAAATTTGACAATCAATTTTTGGAACAATAAAGCCATTAAAACACTGTTACATTAAAAAAATACGATGAAATGGTTTTTTTTTTTTTTTGAAAAAATAAAACAATACAATATCCATTATAAAATTGACCTATACAATATCCATTTAAGCCTTTAAGTAATAAAATATTCAGTACTTGTGCAGAAAAACAAAAAAAAAAAATTTGAATTTCTCCTTCTTTTTTCTTTTAACTTTTTTGGTCCAAAAAAGCCTGACAAACAGTGCATTAAGGTTCAGTTTTGTTGAGGGAAAAAAAACACCAAAAAAAAGGCCAAAAAATTGATTTATGGCATTTATTTTACCCAAACACGCCCTTAAAACAAATTATGGGCCAGCTACAGTGTATTGGGCCTTTTAAAAAATATAATACAGGGGAGCCCGTTCATGCGGACTCGTGGATCGCTAAAAAGGTAACCCTTAGGAATTTAAAAACCGTGGGTCAAAAATGGCAACCCGCAACGGAGTGCATTGGGTTGTCATTTTGGGTTTGTCTTGCCTAAAAAGGCCTGCCTCTTGTGCAGAAAAAAAATAATAATAATAATAAACCAATTTTTGGTTAAGGCCCTTAGATCATTGCCCAAAACAATACTAATTGGACTGTTGAGAAAAAAAGATCACTACAGAGCAGTCCCTTGATCGAGGGCTTGCTTTTCAAAATTGGCCCGCTTTGATAACATTTTCCGTTTCTGTTTTCTGCTGTAATTTTCATTTTTTTAATAAAAAAAGGCAACAAAATCCGTTTGGTAATTATATTTTGATTTTCAAATTTAAATTTTTTAAAAAATTACTTGTCATTTCATTCACAATTCTCACAACTCCAAAATTAAGCTTTGATTTTCAGTTTTAGTTTTCAAATACTATTTATTATTTTATTATTTTTCACAATTAGAGAAATATTATTTTATTATTTTTCAATTATACTTAAATAGTAAATAAAATAAAAATATTTTTATACACTCTAATAATAAAATTAAAAATATTCCCTTATTATTTTTCAATTATACTGTAATAGTAAATAAAGAGTCATTTAAAAACAAATAACAAACACATTTTCTTGTTTCTGTTTTAAAACTTCAACAGCAAACATATGTTAACAAATTATTTTTGATTTTATAAAAATGAACACACCTTTCCAAAATTTGTCATTTTCACTGAAAAGTATAATAAAAAATAAAAATCACAACCTTCCTTTACTCTTTCAAAATCTTTCAAAATTGGAGATCGGTTATGCTTTTCAATCACAATTTCTGAGATTGGAGACTTTGAATGAATTTGGGCGAGTCCAATTGAACTTCTTCTAAGTTATGCTCTAATGCTACGTTTGGTATGCATGAATGGAATGAAATGGAATGTCCATTCCAACCATTTCTTTGTTTGGTATGCAACTTAAAGTGGGAATGGCCATTCCATTAGAATGAAAATCCATTCCACAATTAAACCTATTGTTCCATTCCTAAGTAATTTATTTTAAAAAATCGACTTTCTAAAATACCCTCATATTCCAAGTCCAAAAACCACCATTACCTTCCACTACAATCATCTCTGCCTTTCACCACCACCACCAGTACCACGGCCTTGCACAACCATTGACTTTCACCATCGCCCACCACTTTCCATCACCACCACCGTACCGCCACCGCCTTTCACTACTGCTACCGCCACCGTTTGCTGCAACCACCACCGCTACCTTTCACCACTACTATCGCCACTACCTTCCATCACCACCACTGCCATTGCCTTTCACCACCTTCTACCACCACCGCCGCCATCGCCTTTCACCACTGCCACCACCACCACTGGTCCATTGCTATTTCCTTTCACTACCACCACTGCCACCGCCACAGCCCTACACTACCATAGCCGCCTTCCACCACCGCCACCGCCACCGCCACCGCCACCGCCGCCGCCTTCCACAGCCGCCAACGCGGCCGCCATCGCCTTCTACCACCTTCCACCGCCACCGCTACCACCACCACAGCCGCCTTCCACCACCACTACCACCACCACCGCCACTTCCACTACCTTCCACCACCATCATAGTCACACCACTATCTCCTTCCACCACAATCACCACACTACTGCCACCGTCTTCCACCAACACCACTGCCACCTTCCACCACCACTGTTGCCACCAATTTCTACCATTGTCACTACCGCCGCCTTCCAACACCACCACCGCCACTGCCACCATTTATTTTTAAAAAATTATTAGAGAATATTATTTTGTTATTTTATTTTAATTTAATTTATTTGTTACTAAGAGGGATATTTTAAAGAATTCAATTAAAAATTTATTCCATTCTAAATTTTAAATTGGTTCAATCAAACACTAGAATGGTTATTATCATTGTATTCCTACACATTTCATATTTATAACCAAACAATAGAATGAGAATGACTATTCCATTCCCATTCTCATTCTCATTCCATTCCCACTTGCATTCTATTCAATTTCTGCACACCAAACATAACATTATATTTTATTGTGAATTGTCCAATCAAGAAAAAGCTATAAATGAAAGAATTTTTTAAAGTTAGCGTTAATAAGGGTTACCGAATAATTTATCCCGTAAATAAATATTGATGGTGGAATTTAATACTGTAAGGCTCAGTTTGGTAGGGTGGAAATGGGAGGAAAGGGAAGGGAAAGTGATGGATTGTGATTAAAAAGTTGTGTTTGGGTGAAATGGGTGGAAGGTGAAGGTCTTGCCCTCAGAGAGGCGATCAACTCTTTGGTGAGTTGGGTTACTCTAAATTTCTTATAGAAAGGAACTCTCAATTTGTTTTACGATTAATATTATCTGAAGAAGCATTAAAAGGTGTTCTTAAACAAAAGCCGAATTTCTATTCGAGTTGCAGTGGATTCCCAGATCATGCAACTCATTTGCTCATCAAGTGAGCAAGGTGGCCCTTCAACTCAGAGCTTCAATCTTGGACTTTGTTTCTTTTCCCTGCTAAAGGTGTTTGTAGCCCTTTCTGTGGATGGGTGTGTTGTTTCCTAGTTTCTGTTTTGTTCCCTTTTGTATTGCAAAAATAATAATAATAAATAAAATAAAATAAATGTTGCATAAAGTTTTCCCTGTTTCTCTAAAACATAAAACAAGCTCAATGCTAGCCATTTATAACGAACGTATCTTCATGTCCCAAACAAATTTGCATACCTTTCTCTCTAAAACATACAATAAGCTCAATGCTAGCCATTTTGTAACAAACCCATCGGTCAAAAGTTAGGAAACCATGATGGTTGAATCTTTAATCTTCTGTAATGATCAGAAACCAGGGAAAGTAAAAATATAAGAGTCCAAGTTGCTAAGCCTTTTGCTGCAAAAGTTCTATTCTTCGAGTGTGATATAAACAAGAAAGACATTCCACTTACAGTTGATACATTGATCCAGCACTCAAGGGTGTTGAGAGCATTTCCTGATTGATGTGTTTCCCGGGCTAGTGCTACCCCTTCGGCTAGGCTGCTAACCTGCCCACTCACCAAGAGAGCTGCTGCAGCGTTCAGGACCTGATTTCATGTCAAGGCATAAAGTAAAACAATCAGAGTATGAAATGAATCCATTATATTAATATAGAATTAGATAGTAAACAGCTATGTATTCTCTGTTGCATGAAATAAAAACTCTCTCATCTAATATTCTCAATATACGGTTATATAGAAAAGAAGCGCACAGAAACGATGCATAAGTAGCCAAAAAATTATTTTTATGGTTATTTTTTTCATTTTCTAGATTCAGTGGTTGGACCTAATCTATGCATTCAAGTTATGGTTGTTTGGAGACATCATATATTATCACGTTAGAATGAGAAGCAAAAACATATTAATTGACGGGTCGAGTCATATTGAAATGGCAAGATACTTACAAATGCATCTGCTATGGATCCTGTCTCACCAGATAGTACACACTTTAGTACCTCTGCATTGTATTCAGGGCCTCCCCCTTGCAAGTCTTTCACTGTGCAGCGAGGAATACCAAAATCCACTATACAGAAAGAAAAGAAAAAAAAAGAGAAGCTAAAAATTACTCAATACAGAAGCAAAATTTATTTTACTATTGGAAAATTTTATGGATCCTGCTGGAAATGGATGTATTCTATCCTCTAGGGTGTTATCTTGCAGAGGGTATGCCCTCTCCCATTGTACTCTATTGCTATATCTTTTGAAATAAAAATACCAACCCATTCATGAAATAATAATAATAATAATAATTTGGGTCTAACTAGGGTTGTCTAGCTTAAAATGGTATGTTAACAGGAGTAGAGAACACGAGGTGTGCATGTACATGAGCATTCAAGCAGGTATTATATTCTGGCTGAGCTTCGTACTAGTTTAGGAGTAACTATAATTCGGGTAAGGTTTGGGTCCACATTGGACCATGAACTGGAACAATATATATGCATCAATTTAAACACGAACAAAGACTTCATTTCATGCTCAAACCTCTCCCATTTCATGCTCAAACCTCTCCTTTCAATCAATAAGACCCTTTCCATGCCTGGATTAAAGAGTTGAATCAGGTTACCATAAGATACAGTAAAAAATAAGGCCTAAATGAATCGGAACTAAATTCACACATGAACCCCGTCCTGGTTACGCTCATGTCTGTACCCCAAATTTTGGAAAGGGAACTGTCTGAACCTGGTATAGTCTGGACAGAGCTACAGGGTCAAAAAAACTGCATCCCTATCTTTTAATAGTTTCATTATTGATAAATAAAAATGAGATGATGAATCTGTTACATGGGTCAAAAGAGAATTTTTCAATCTTTTCAGGTTTGATGTCAAGGAGTACTCCAGGCCCTGTCAACATCAGTAAAATATCCATTAGAACAAACTAGAGAAATAAAAAATAAAGAAAAAAATTAAATACAAGTAATACAGAAGAGAAACCAGAAAAGGCTAGTGTCCAGCATCCATAAAGCCTTAATGGCATAACATTCAATTTGAATGAGCTTCGAAGTAACCAAAGAAAGGGATCTTACCAAGAGGACTCATTTCATCTAAGCCCTCTGAATGAACAACTAATGCTCTTTTCATGCCATATCTTTGCAATGCTTTAGCCATCTTAGTGACCTATCCAAGAATGAAATAAGCTTATTCCTTAAACACTACAGAGAGAGATAACAAACAATAAAATGTCTTCAAAGTAGTCGCTGAATGATCTATAAGAACTAAACTACCTAGAAAGCTGTAAAAATATATACTACATTCCACAGGCACAATAGACTGAAAAAAAACATAATTTGTGCAGTCTGCTGACACAGGGACACCAAAAACATTACATAGAGATATCAGATGATTAAATGTTATTGAGGTAGTCCTGAATACATTTCCTGGGGACAGAAGGCTGAGAAGGATATAGTTTATGCAGAATGTGTTGACACAAGGGCACCATAAACATGGAAATGAATACCAGGAAAAGGTTTAGGCAAAGTTATTTGGAAGAAAAGCATGAAAAAAAAAAGAAAGAACTAAAGACTGACAACTGCTACTTCATGTGACAGGAACTTCTGGTCTAAATTACTTTTTAAAAGAGACAAAGCTAATGATTAACCTGTGCACATGGAGAGAATTTTTTTTTGTGTTTCTCAACTCTACTGGTATATAACAATATACCTCTTGGACCCACGATACCTCCATCTAAACTTCTGGATTATACAAGAAGCATCATTAACAAGTGCACATGGAAAGAAAAATTTTATGCGTTTCCCAACTTTTCTAGTAATAATCTACCTCTTGACCCAAATATGCCTCCATCTAAACCTCTGGATTATACAAGAAGCGTCATCCAACTTCCCAGATAGCTTCAAGCCTATGTTACATGAATTGGGTACATTGTGTCTTGGCTCTGCATATGTGTCCAAGTGTTGAATTTATCATATACCCAAACCAAAGGACACGGAACACTTGCTAAATTTTCATTTTTTTAATATTGTCTTTTATTTCCCAAGGTAATATGGTATTTAATGTACCACAGAGCATTCAATAAGAAACTTCCTCATTTTGAAGCTATAATAAAGGGAACACCATATAAAAGTCTTACCTACAACCAGATAGCATATAAGAATTGCAGTATCAGCTTGCTAGGTGCATATCCAACTAGATAAGTCAAACACATTTCAGTATATCACATATTCATATTTAGGTGTGATATATCTGAAACAAGTACTTCACGCATTATAAAGATTCCATGTCATATAGCTTCAAGCAGGTAGCAGGTTGGCCTAGATGACAGCTGCTAATATTAGGAATTATAATTACCCACTCTTCGTGACATGAATATTAAACAGCCGAAAGACTAGAACATCCCCATGTGCAGCTATTAGTTTGGGGAAAAAAATACTTGGTATTAGTCCTGCTAATGCAGGATGCAGAAGGGATAGATTTGGTACAGGTGTAACCTTTGGAATTTTAGTTATTAAGGATGCACACAAACAACTTATATTTGACCAGATAGGTCAGTTGTTAATCCCATTTACAGGAAACATTTAGATTAAAATATACAAAATGGAAAACAATACCAAATCACAAAAGCTAGCTCATTAATTGAATACTTTTTTTGTACATAAATCCAATTCATTGAGAGAGAGAGAGAGAGAATTTCAGTTTCTACTGTCAGCACCACAGGACCACCTCATTTATCTGCTGCATTTCTGTAAAAACCAACACCACCAACGCCGCGCCCCCCCCCCCCCCCCCCCCAAAAAAAAAAAAACCCTAAAATAAAAAAAAAAACTCTAATTTGAAAAATGACAAGTTACATGACAAAGATCTTGTTTACTGTCTACAAGGGAAGACATGATGAGGACTGCATGAACTTTAGACTGCTTTTAGACTTAAACCTGAGTTCTCATGTTTAAGAGTCCAAAGTTACACCAAGTAATGACCACTTCCAAATTAGAAAGTAATATGCAAATAAGAGTTAATAATCAAACAACTTACTATGTCTTCTTTGTATACACCGACAACTGCAAAGGGTACCCGTGCTGGACTCAACATAGGACCCAATATATTAAATACAGTCTTCACCCCAAGCTTTTTCCTCACAGGAGCAACAATCTTCATTGCAGGATGGTATTTAGGAGACATCATAAAACCAATTCCCACTTCCTCCACACATTTTTTCACCCCCTGATACAGAACATGATATCTATAAAAAAGAAATGGAGAGATCATTATATATCCCCAGCAAATCTAAATTAACTTGCTTTACAGAAGATGATGCGAACATAAACCACGACTATGGGTGTAACGGTCATAAGGTTATTTTTGGCATCATAAAATTGGACCAGGTCACGTTCCTTAGATTAATGTTAAATTTCAGATGGCCAACTAACGATTTGGGGTTTTTTGCAACAAACGGTATAGTTCAAGGAGTCGAGTATCGAATTGATAGTTCAGACTTCAGGGGGGGTTTAGTGCTACTATCAAATCTCAAATGGACAGCTTATTGATGTATTAAGTAATGTATTTTGAAAAACAAATGAAATAGAATGTCCTACATGGTTTTCAAATGACTAGTGACAGTGTCTTGTTTACTAAACTCACAAGCAAAAGTAAACCGCGGATATTCTTGACAGAAATTGTCCTGTCAATTCGAAATTGACTGGTTAAACTTGTCAAAAAAAGAGATAGACTGCTTACCCATTCCCCTCTACATGTTTGCTAAAGAGCCACAATATTTGCATAGCATGTTACACACTTCAACATGCATATTCATCACTGAAGAAGGGGATCAAGGCACAAAAGTGACAGAAATATGGGAGTTCATCTAGTAAGCAAGAGCTCATAGGGATATCAGGTACAGTTGGCTTCTCAATTCAAATTCATCGTGCTATGCTTGTAAGGAATGGTGTTCTAGCAATTTGTGGGTTCATCTCTTAAGTTAAGATTCAGAAAACCATGAGAAGTCTCTGAGGAATTTGGGATAAATTTGTTATTTGATATTCCAACCCATTCAGAGTATTATGTTAAGCCCATGACCCATCATTGTCCATTAAAACCATGAAGGTTAAGCGCACCCGATTCCACATCAAATGCTAAATGTTTCCAAATAAAATTCAAATTTAAAAATTTTCAAGCAGCCCTATCAATTTAAGATGCACTAACCTCAGGCTCCAAATCAATGACTACTCCCAGGGCTTCCAAAACATCAGCACTTCCACAGGCAGAAGAACTAGACCGGTTACCTTGCTGCAACAAGAACACTATGTAAATCACTCTTCACACAACATCAACTCCACCACATGCAAAAAAAAAAAAAATTCACCTTTGCAACTTTTGCACCACAAGCTGCAGTAAGTATAGCCGCCCCTGTTGAAATATTCACAGTGTTGGCCCCATCGCCTCCCGTCCCAACAATGTCAACTACATTTTCCATCCCTTCAACCTTCGTGCAACATTTGATCATTGCTCTTGCTAGTCCTACAATCTACATCACAAGAAAGCTTAAAGAATGAAAAATTATCCACAACACATAACAAGAGGTCACTTTTGGGGTGTAAATAAACAGACAAGCGTGAGAACGCGATTTGGAGTAAGAGTAACAGTCACTTTGTGAAAAATAATTCGACGGGTTAGATATATCTGAGAAATAAAATATACAGGCTCAGGCATACATGTGACTATTCTTGTCATCTTGTTTGTGTAAAAGTATACATACTTCTTCATAAGTCTCTCCCTTGGCTCTTAAAAGAACAAGAAAAGCACTTATCAAAGCTTCACTACCATCACTAAGCAAGAAATTGAGAGAAGCTTCAGCCTCCTCTTCAGTTAAATCCTCACGATTTAGTAAACACTCAATCAACTGCAGAAAATCATCGAACAATTATCAACACACAATCATCTAAATGCATAAATTCAAATCGCACCAAAAGAACAGTATACTATGTGAGAAAGCACAAAAAAAAGGAAGAAAAATAAATAGAAGAATATATAAATATATATATATACAAGTTCATCTGTTTAATTAAAGTCTTGGTTCCACGAAATGACAAAAATCAAGTCAGATTTCATTTATCTAATTTTGACGTTCCTACGTTACTCGGCAACCAAACAAGTTATGAATGAAATTACAGTTGCGTACCTCTTTGGAGGATGTTATAGGCAAATGTAATGGAGGAGCGGAGGGCATATCCGTCACTAGAGATTTTAATTTTCTGGAACTCCATTTAGTGACTGGCACAGCTAAGAAACGCTTCTGCAATTCAAGAGAACCCCGTGAGTGTCTGGCAGTAGACGGGGAGAGAGAAACGGAAGCACTGTTTCCACACACAGCCATCACTACTGCATTATATTGTAGTCAACCATTCTAATTTCGAACAATTTTATGTAGATTTCACCACATCATTGCTGTGCACTTTCAAATCTATAAATATACAGTGTGTATATAGAGAGAGAGTGTGTGTATCGAAACCTAATTTTGGAGCGAGAAAACAAAGACGAAATTTTACAGCATCGTGTGGCTGCTTCTCATCCAGTTGTCGTCATCTCTCGTTTTATGTAAGAGTTGGTATCGTCGGCTTCCCTTGTCATGCTGCTTATCTGCATCCTCCTTACTGGGCCACGTCATCGTGTCGGCTTCCCTAGTCATGCTGCTTCTATGTGAATGGACATGGGACACGGATAGAGCCAATTTTTTTTTTTTTAACAAGGTACGGATGCGGGTTGGACATTTATATATATATATTGAGTAATAATATTATAAAATTTTAATTATTTTTAATTTTATATTTTTATTTATATATGAGTAATAATATTATAAAATTTTAATTCATTTTAAATTTTTATAATACTAAAAATTGTAATGACTTTTATATCATATTTACACACACACCGTATTCTCCACTTTATTATAATAATATTTTTATTTTAAAAGAATAAATATCATTAAATAATTGGCTTGCGATCACATGGATATAATGTTAATTTTTCTTAAAGAAAAAAATTTAACACTTAATAATGTGTTTTATACTAGGGTTTTGTTAGAAATATATGAAATGTCCATACTTAATTGTGATTGAAGAATCCCAACATGGGATAAATCATTAAATCCCTAAACATCTAAAAACAATATACCCACAACGAATCAGATGAATCAATCAGACAATTGTTAATTTTTTTATTTATCCTGGCAAGAACAATAGCCTCGAGCATCTACAAACGTTGCCAAAATGGCCATACAAAGACAAACAAATCATGAAGCAATATAAGAAAAAAACTGAAGAACTGATTCCAAATTTGTTGAGAAACAAACCAACATACAACAGCGGAAACTACCAAGAAGAAGAGAGCGGCACCAAGGCTGCATCCATAAGGCGTCGCCGACTGAGGAAAAAACTACCAAACCCCACACAAGAAGGCGGGAACAATCAAACCCGACATAGATCAAAAATCTAGCCAGAGACAAAATAACGAATCCACCCCATCGAGCTAGAAAACCAGCCAAACAGGAGTAGATCTGGCAAAATAACAGTAAAACGGCGTGAAACCACCCGCCGAACAAACTATTTACAACACGCCGCCGAATTTATTATGCAGTGAGTAGCAAGGATCAGCACCTCTCCACTCCCATGGAGGAGAGTGAGGAGGAGCAAGCAGAAGGAAGAGAACGAATGAAGGGTTAAGAGTGAGGCGAGAGAAAAGTTAAGAGAGAGAGAGAAGTTCTGGTTCAGTTTCCCAGTTGTTAATCTTATGAGACTCAAGTCATTTAGAAAGTTGAAAACTTGATGTACATCATCAGACAAGTGATGGTGTTCTAGGAGCGTACATCATCAGACTCACAGGAAAGATTCTTTGGAATGGATCATCCGTTGCAAGCTAAAAACACTATCAAAGTAAAAGCACCAACTGTGATTTTCATATTTCTCCATCCAAAACTCTAGAATCTAGGCATTTGTTGGGGCTACTGGAACAACACACACAACAGACTTTAGCCACGGACTTAAAACAAGCAATTGCGGATCTGTCATTTTTTATTATTGAAAATGAAAAAGAAAAACAAAATTACACACATTAAACTACTATTAAAAGCTACCATTAATTTTTATTTAACTTTTAAAATTCCTCATTTAGATTTCATTTGCATTTCAATGATAATCAACAGTAGAAAATCAAAGTAAGTTTTTTCTTTTTATATTGTTTTAACACCTTGGCAAGTAGCTCATTTGCTAACCTTGTGGGACTCCAAATCTGTAACTTCTACTTTGAATCGTAGTGTAAGTACCACTAAATAATACTGCATTAATCTAAATTGTCCTTGATTTTAGTAAATAGGCTAATAGGTCTATGTAAATTTATATTGGCCAAGTATTTTGGTTTCTTTTTAAAAAAATAAAAGCAATATAAATATTTAGAGACATAAAATATTACAAGCCAGATGAGTTTTTCAGATGCGTTTAGTTAGCATAATTTTTTTCTTTAAAAATGGTAAGAAAGTACAATTTCATTGTTTAGAGAATTTACAAGGAAATATTAATCTTTCTAACCAACTACAACAAATTAGAAGGCACCACTGGACAAAGTACATTTTTGAATGTGTGATGGCAGCATACACACACACAGATCACTGACATCCGAAAGACAACAGCAGTTAATGAAATAATCTCATTTACATTTAGGAAAAAGAAATAATCTCATTTAAATTGAAGTCCAAAAAATGAAAAATTATTAACCTTCAGAAGTCTTAAAAGTAATCTATAGAATTGCTCAGGTAGTCCCCATAGATAGTAAAAAAGTCAATTACACAAAGGTACATATCATTACAAAAATGGTGATGACAAATTGGGAATTTGAATGGCATCATCATAAGTTCTTCAGACGGACCATCTTTAGATTTCTTATAACTGAGAGTTACTAAAGAAATAAATCTCTATTATTATGCAAGTCTTCGGGATCAAACAATCCCAACACCGGATAAATCATTAATTCCCTATACATCTACAATTTATTCGTCTCCCAACTCTGCCATAAAATTTTCCCTCCAAAATAATTTCCCGGGAAAGTCATGTATAGGATTGCTAAAGTAGTCAGTCCCCCATAGAGAGAATTCAATCCATTTCTACAAGCACAAACATTACAACACGATTCTCCAATTCATTCCATGATTTATATGAAATTGACTAAAATGATTGTACAAGAATCAGAAAGTATAGATTACACTAACATATATATAACATATAAAGATAGGACTCACTTTCAGTATCCAACACAATAAGTAGAATTGCTCTTTATAAAACCTGTCCTTTTTACTTGTTTGGTTAGAGAAAATTTTGAAATTTTATAGTATTCACCTTCAAGAGATGAAATATAAGTTCCAAGACATTTGCAGCTGCCACTCATTTGTTCAAACATTCGTAGTCAACAAACCTCCAAAATGGTGGTAAACCCTAAACCCACAACAAACTTCAAGAGATGACTCAACCAGGCAATTCTTAACTATGAACAAATCTACAAAGAAGAGAGGTTCAGCTCTACAAATTGTAATTATAACTTAAGAACGCAATTAAAAAAACTTGCCAGCAAAGAACAGTCAAGAGGTTCAAATGCTTCTAATAAACGCAACTGATGAGACAAAAGGAATAGAGTAAAATTTTAGTTTTATCACTCACCAATAATATGGTAAAAATAACATGCCATTATCTTTTAGTTCTACATCTAGTTTCCCCCCTTTTCCTTCTTAGTCATTGTTGTTGCACCAAAGCACACAGCATGAAGATCAGATACAAACCAGGAATTTCAAAATCTTCGTCAGATGGAGTGGCCGGTAAATGAACTCATTAGAAAAGTTTAAAACTTGATCTACATCAGACAACTGATCCTGTTCTAGAAACCCATTTCTGCCTCTTATTGGGACTAGGCTCTCCCTGTAGAGCAAGGGATCATCCGCAATAAACCGGGTTCCAAGATCCTTAATTTCATGAGTCACTGGATCATATAAGGTCATAAAACCATCATCAGATTCCATAAAAAGCTGACCGTTCTTCCAAAACCCAAGTGGCCGATCCACTCCTCTAATGATTTCAAAAGTAAATAGTTTTGTCCAACACCCTTCCTCCCTCATCACCCATATGTCAACAAATGGACGAGAATCAGCATCAATCAGAGCAAGCGAGTTATTGTAGGATGCAAGAACTCCATGTGAACTGGGAATATCACGTATATTGTGAAACAACTCATTGCCCATGTCAAATGAAAGGATCAATGGATGATCATTCTCTTTATTTGTTGTACGCCAGTAATGAACTCCATTAATGCATGTGTTAGACTGAGGGTTGTAAATGGTAGTATAAGGCGTAGCAACATGACCAAGATATCTCCAGGAGTCAGTAGATAGGGTATACACAGCAGCCTGGTAAGGGCCCCTAATTGCTTCGTTAGAATCCAGAGTGTCCCAAATCCACACAACCTTGTAATCATTAGTAATGGGATCCAAACCAAATCCAAAAATTTCTTTGAAAATCACTACATCTGGTGGAAAGTTAAGACGGAATACAGGGAGGGACCTAAATTCTCTGGTTGCGGGATTCCATAGAGCAAAGCCTTTGGATTGATTGCGACTGGACAGACACAGTATGCCATTATAGAGACTGACATCCATATAGAAGAACATATCCACCACCACATTCTGATACGCCGGAGGATAACCGGCGAGTGTTTGATCAGGGAACAATGAGAAAGCATATCCACTGGAAATTTCGTCATAACGGTGAACAAAAAGACGGGCACTGTTGCTGGGGTGGTCGTAGTGCTCAGAAACAAAACTAGGGTTTATGATGATAGTGTACCAATTTTTGCATACTGCTCTTGCCCGAATCAGTGAATTCACGGGCAGCCTTAAGAGGATCTCAATTACCACATTCTCAGGCAGCAGCTGATGAATGTCACTGCAACTCGTCATTCGCCCCTTTTTTATTGATTCCATTGAAACCCTAAACCCAATTTCAAATTGAAATCAAATTCAAAATACTACCATTTTTCTTGAATAAAAAACAAACACGAGAAACATTCACCATATGAAATATTGGAGATAACAGGAAATTAAGAAGAACGGTGAGACTCACTGGGATTGTTTGGAATGAATCATCCGTTGGCAACTACAAGATCGAACACCATGAAAGTGAAACCAAATGTGATGCCTTCAAAGTGTCAGAAAAATAAAAAAGTTGGTGACACGACGATAGGGGAGTCGACGACTAAAGCTATGGTAAACGGCCGACATAACTATAACCGTCTTAAAATAGCGAAATTTCTTATCGGGTAAATTCTGACTAGCACGAAAGGCGTAACGATCTGAGTACTGTCTCAGAGAAAGATACGGTGAAACAATAATTCGTTCGTTATCAATTCATTTATAGAGGGTCATAAATTAAGTCACATAAAGCAAGAGTAGGAGTGTGAAAGTGACAAAATTAAGTAATAAATAGTAAAAATTTGAACGAGAGAGCGCTCGAAGTGTGAAAGTTGGAGCACACTCGGAGCGTCAAAGCGATACCCGTTGAAAAGAATTGTGTGACTTAGGTCTGAAATGGGTTAGGTATTAAATGGGTGAGTCAACCCATACCCAACCCAATGACCCGAATATTTTTAGACACAAATTTTCAAGTTATTTTAGTTGCTGAAAAATAATAATAATAAAAAATATTATTCTTACATTAGTTTTTTTTGTTTGTTTCAAACATTACAAATTTTTTTATTTTTTATTTTATATTTTGGTAAATAATCATTTGCAATTTTACTTATTTTCAGTGCATACATATATTATATTGTGCATACATAAACACACAATTATGTTTGCATTTAAATTTTTATTTTTATTTTTTATAATAAAGTATATTTGCACGCGCGCGCGCGCGCACATATATATACACCTCATGTTTCAATATGACAATATGTTGTCTGAATTTGGGCAAGGCAAATTATTTGTATGGCTACTACACATATTAATAAAAATGAATTGGAGTAATAAGGAGGTTGAATAAATATACATGTTGTGCAATGGTGACAAAGGCATGTAAATAATTAATTACCGAAAAGAAAAAGACAAGGTAGGCTGTAAAAAAATATTATTAGAAAAAAGGTATGTAAACCAAAATTATTAATAGAAAAAGGACTTCCAGTGGGCTTCAATAAATGTACTTTTATGGAACTTACCAAGGAGAATGTACATGGACGAACAGAGTTTTGAAGTTGTAAATGATTAAAGTTTGGAACCAACCAGCTCCATGAAGAATTATACAAACGCAACGAGACTAAGAACAGGGTAGATCAATCTTCAGAAGGGAAAAAGAAACAAAAACAAGAGAGAGAGAGAGATCATTTCTTCAGAATTTATTGCTTCGACATCCAACAAATTCTTTCACCACTTCCTCTTTCCCAGAGAACCAATAAAAAAAATAACGGAAGCAACTGCCAAATACGTCTCGGAATTGTGTTCTCAAGTGGAACCTCTTCAAGGAGAAAGCAGCATCAATCAACCATTTTTATCCCTTCAATGCAAAACAAAAACACTTCTGGCTCTGAAGGAGTCAAGTTCAAGGTTCTCTCTCATCTCAAGTATTGGTAGGATTGAGGGAACCATCCGGACAACAAGTGGTGTTTTGTTTTCATAATCAATGCAAAGACACAATAGCATGGGATATGCAACAATGCTACCAACAACTACCTGCCAATCATCAACATAAGAATGTTACAAAAATGGGAAAACAAAAAACAATAAAAATTGAAGCATGCTAAGTTATGAATTAGGACAGAATAGAAGTTCTAGGTGGAATAAAGATTTCTAAAAGCCTACATTCATTATCTTTGCATGCATAAATCTTTGCAAATATTTATACATAAAAAAGTCATTTCTACAAGGGCACATATCAATACAGAAATGAATATGACAAATTGGGAATTTGAATTTAAAAACAGACCATCTTTAGATTTCTTAAAAATGAGAGCAAGTAAAGAATTATATCTTTATTATGCAAGGTCTTCAAGATCAAAAAACCCCAATACCGGATAAATCATTAAATCCCTATACATCTAAAATTTATTTTATCTCCCAACTCCCCATAAAAATTTTCATCCAAAATAACTTTCCATGAAAATTCGTACATAGGATTGCTAAAGAAGTCCCAACAGAAAGAACTCAAGCCATTTCTACAAACATACATATTACAAGATGATTCTCCATATAATTCCATGATTTATATGAAATTGACTAAAATGATTATACAAGTATCAGAAAATATAGATTACATTTGACATATATAATATATAGAGTATAAAACCTGCCTTTTGACTTGTTTGGTCAGAAATTTTTTTGAAATTTTGCAGTATTGCTCTTCAAGAAATATATTATAAGTTCCAAGACATTTACCGCTCCCACTCATTTGTTCAAAAATTTATAGTCAACATACTTCCAAAATGGTGCTAAACCGTAAACCCACAACAAACCAGATGACTCAACCAGGTTGTTCAAATTGTAATTATAACTTAAAGAATGCAAATATAAAAAGAAGAAGAAGAAGACAGGTTAAACTCTACAAATTGTAATTATAACTTAGAATTCAATTAAAAAATCTTGTCAGCCAAAGAAAACTCGAGGGGGTTCAAATGCTTATACTAAACACAGCTGATGAGATAAAAGGAATAAGGTAAAATTTTAGTTTATTACTCACCAATAACAAAAATGATAAATTAACATGCCATTTCCTTTTAGTTCTGCATCTAGTTTGCCCCCTTTTCCTTTTTAGTCATTGTTGTTGCACCAAAACACACAATTTATCGGATGGAGTGACCGGTAGGTGAACTCATTTAGAAAAGTTTAAAACTTGATCTACGTCAGACATTGTCTGATCCTGTTCTACAAACCCATTTCTGCCTCTTATAGGGACTAAGCTCTCCCTATAGAGCAAGGGCTCGGAATAATATCGGGATCCAAGATCCTTAATTTCACAAGTCTCTGGATCATACAAGGCCATATGAGCATCACGACTTTCCATAAAAAGCTTATCGTTCTTCCAAAACCCAAGTGGCCATTCGAATCCTTCAAGGATTTCAAAAGTAAATTGCTTTGTCCAACATCATTCCTCCCTCGTCACCCAAATGTCAACACCTGAATCACTAGAACAATGACAAATCAGAGCAAGATAGTCATAGTAGGGTGCAAGAATGCCACATTTTGAATATGGAATACCACGGATCTCGTGAAACAATTCATTGCCCATGTCAAATGAAAGGATCAGATCATGATAGTCACTGTCTACTGCAAACCAGTGATAAACTCCATTAATGCATGTGTTAGACAGAGGGATTTGAATGTTAGCATAAGGCAAAGCAACATCATCAAGATATCTCCAGGAATCAGTAGATAGGGTATACACAGCAACCTCATAAGGAGTATACTTTAATTTTCTAGTATCATGATTATCATCCATAGTCTTCCAAATCCAAACCACCTTGTAATCATTAGTAATGGGATCCAAACCAAATCCAAAAGTGTCATAGGGATACACCACATTGGGTGAAAAGTTAGGAGAGAGTAGTGGGAGGGACCTAAATTCTCTTGTTCAGGATTCCACAGCGCAAAGCGTTTGAAATGATTTTGCAGACACAGTATGCCGTTACAGAGACTGATGGCTAGACGGTGGCGCATATCCACCACCACATCCTGATACACCAGGGGAGAACCCGCGAGTGTTTCATCAGGGTACAATGAAAAAAAAAAAATATACTGGAATGGGAAGGATGTTCAAGATGTCGAACAAAAAGATGGGCACTGTTGGTGTGGTGGTTGTAGTGATTAGTAACAAAGTTAGGGTTTTTGATGATAGTGTACCAATTTTTGCATACGGCTCTGGCCCGAATCAGTGACTTCACTGGCAGCCTTGAGAAGATCTCAATAATCAAATCCTCAGGCAGCCTCTGACGAATGTCATTACAACTCGTCATTGGCCCCTTTTTGATCGATTCCATTGGAACCCTAAACCCAATTTCAATTTGAAATCAAAATACTAACATTTTCGTAAATTTTTAAAAAAGGGGACAAACATGCACCACATCAAATACTGAAGGTAACAGGAAATTAAAGAGGACGGTGAGACTCACAGGAAGGATTCTATGGAATGAATCATCCGGTTGGCAACTACGAAAACCGTGAAAGCCAACTGTGATTTTCTTTCTCTCTCCTTTGAAATCTCTAGAATGTAGGGCATTTGTTGGGCTCCCAAAAGCAAGCAGCCAGCCGCCGACGACACACTCAAACTCAAAACTCGGTGCTGGAAACGGACGGACCTTTCAAAAATAAAATGGTAACAGTGCGCGTCTTTCATTGTTTATTGAAAATGAAAAGGGCAAAGAAAATTAAACGTATTAAACTTGTATTAACTATGAAGTTCCTACCATCAATTTTTATTTAACTTTTAGAATTCCTCACTTCGCTTTTTATTTGCTTTTAGTTAGATGAAAATTCTTAGTAGAATAGGGAAAGTGAATGAAAGTAAATGTAGAATTTTTAAGTTGCTTTTAGCATGATTTTTTTTATTATTATTTTTGAAATATGGTGGGAAAGTACTATTTCATGGTTTTGATAATTTAAAAGAAAATATTATAGTTTACTTAAATTGTTCTTATTTTATTAAACGAGGTAATAGGTGTAAATAAATTTATATAAGCTAAATATTACTGGTTTCTTTTTTAAAAATAAAATCAATATAAGAATTAAAATAAATAATTTTGTAAGATGTTTAGAGAGAGATAGAATATTCTAATATTTTAATCAAAAGTTATGCGGATTATGCATAATCACATTTTAGTTAGAGAGTATTTATTTTTAAAAAAAAAAAAAAATTATCCAATTGATTTAATGGAAATAGTTAGAAAAGAAAGGAACTGAAAAAAAAAAGTTTGGTTCTTTTTTCTAAGTAATAAAAAATTAGAAAACTGATTTATAATATGCTTGAATCTGTTTTTGAAGAATGATTTTCAAACAACCATTAAAGGTATAAATTATTGTAACGTGGTGCTGCTATAACCCAGAATTTTGTCTCTTCTTTCTCATAATCTCTCTCATTCACTCTTTCATTATCTTCGCGGATCCAATCTCTCTCGTTCTCTCTCACACCTCAAATTTATGCCCCATATCTCTTTCTACATTTATTTCTACAGATACGGTCTGTGCATTCTTAATTTGACGTTCCCCCCTAAATAGAGGAAAAAATTTATATATAAACAGTCTAGTACAAAACAAAGAGAGAGGGCATATACTCACAATTAAAATAAAAGCCCCTAACCAGAGGGATCAATCCTAAACAATTGAGATAAATGGTGAAAAGATAGGACATTCCCTTATTCAACACCAACTATAAAAACTCACGCTAAAATCAAACTACGCCTTGAAGGCATACCTCCAAGATACCCAGCACACTTGTTTTAGCTGGGCTATTGCGTATTTGGTAGGGTTATAAATGTTGGTTAATTTACACTCTCTCCCTCCCCAAACATGACACTTTTTATGGACGGAAGGAATATATTTGGAATTTATACATGTGTAAAAATTGGAATGTTTTTTTAAAACAGAGACTTCGTTTACTCAATCGCCCTATCAATATGAAAGTCTCCATTCTCCAACAAGCATCCACACTCATCCAGTTCACACACAAAAAAAAAATTTGGCTAACAATTAAAAGATTATGTTGGTGTTAAAAAAGAGTTCCAGCCTCTACAATAGATGGTTTCTGAACTACTACAATACTTGAAAAGTAGCTTAATTCAAATCAGGTTATGGCAAACTGTTAACAGAGAAATCACCAGCATCAATGCCACACTTTCACCCCATTGTGGTGTCACATTTTCTCACTATTACATAGCAGAATGTACCTATGATAGACCTGTCAATGAAGCGGATCCTGATCCGGATCCGATTAAAATCCGATCCGATTAGTCGGATATGGATTGAACAAAAAATCCGATAATCCGTTAGCTTAACAAATCGAATATGGATTATGCTGATCTGATCCGATCCGATTGAAATTATATATAAAAATAATTATATATATATATATATATATACTCCTATTAGAATTGTATTAAAGGTAACCCAAAAATCCAAAATAATAATAATAATAATAATAATAATAATAATGTTATATATATATATTATGATGTTCTCATCCATATGTTAATAAAATCTCTTAATACACGTACTAATAAAATCATACTCTTTATAATTATATATGTTAATAAATATTATTTTAATCCGATTTCGAATCCGATCCGATTCGAGTTCGAGCTAAATAGGATATGGATTGGGATATTCAGTCCGAGAACCCGTTAGTGATCCGAATCTGATAATTCGTTTGCTTAACAAATTGGATATGGATTTGATCGATCCGATCCATTGACAGGCCTACTTGTGGATTGATAGAGTTTTGAACTTGTAAATGATTAAAGTACGGAGCCGACCAGCCCATGAAGAAGTATACAAAAGCAGCAACCCTAAGAACGAGGGAAAATATCAAATCCCCAAAAAGGAAAAAGAAACATAAACAAGAGAGAGAGAGATCCTTTCTTCAGAATTTGTTGATGTTGTTGCTTCGACATCTAAACAAATTCTTTCACCACTTCCTCTTCCCAGACTACCAACAGAAAAATAACCGAAGCATCTGCCAAATACATCTAGGAGTTATGTTCTCAAGTGGAACCTCCTCAAGGATAAAGCAGCATCAATCAACCATTTTTATCCCTTTAATGCAAACAAAAATACTTCTGGCTATGAAGGAGTCAAGTCCAAGGTTCTATCTCATCTCAAACATTGGTATGATTGAGGCAAACATCCGGACAAGAAGCAGTTTTTGTTCTCATAATCAATGCAAAGACACAATAGCATGGGATATGCAACATGCTTCCAACAAGTACTTGCCAATCAACATAAGAATGTTACAAAATTGGGTTTTGCAGGAATTTTTTTTTTTCTTCCCTAAATGGTTATTGAATTTTGTTCATAAAATATATTATAGGGAGGTTTGGAGCCAAAACAAAGGAAAAAAATATATATATACAATAAAAATTGAAGCATGTGAAGTTATGAATTAAGACAGAATAAAAGTTCTAGGTGGAATAAAGATTTCTAAAAGCCTCCATTCATTATCTTTGCACGCATAAATCTTTGCAAATATTTATAAGTAAAAAAGTCATTTCTGCAAGGGTCAATACCATTACAGAATGATATTACAGAAATGAAGATGACAAATTGGGAATTTGAATTTTAAAAACGGACCATCTGTAGATTTCTTTAAAATGAGAGTAAGTAAAGAAATAAATCTCTATTAGGCAAGGTCTTCGTGATCAAACAATCCCAACACCAGAAATATCATTAAATCTCTATACCTCTAAAATTTATTGTCTCCCAAGTCCCCATCAAACTTATTTTATCCAAAATAACTTTCCGTGGAAATTAATACAAAGGATTGCTAAAGAAGCCCCAATAGAGAGAACTCAAGCCATTTCTACAAACATACATATTCCAAGATGATTCTTCAATTAATTCCATGAATAATACGAAATTGACTAAAATGATTATAGAGAATCAGATAGTATAGATTGCATTTGACATATATAATACATAGAGATAAGACTCACTTTTCGTATCCATCTCAGTACTAGAATTGCACTGAATAAAACCTGCCTTTTTGATTTGTTTGTTCAGAATATATTTTGAAATTTTATAATATTGCTCTCCAAGAAATGAAATATAAGTTCCCAAGACATTTGCCACTCCCACTCATTTGTTCAAAAATTTAGTCAACAAACTTCCAAAATGGTGGTAAACCATAATCCGACAACAAACCAGATGCCTCAACCAGGCAGTTCTTACCTACGGACAAATCTGAAAAAGAAGAAAGTTTAAGCTATACAAATTGTAATTATAACTTACAAATGCAATTAAAAGAAGTTGTCAGCCAAGATAAATCAAGAGGTTCAAATGCTTATAATAAACAAAGCTGATGAGACAAAAGGAAAAGAGTAAAATTTTAGTTTTATCACTCACCAATAACAAAAATTATCTTTGAGGTCTGCATCTGGTTTTCCCCATTTTCCTTCTTAGTCATTGTTGTTGCACCAGAACACACGCCTGAATCATACTAGATGAGATATAAACCAGGAATTTCAAAATCTTCATTAGACGGAGTGGCAGGTAAGTGAACTCAGTTAGAAAAGTTTAAAACTTGATCTACATCAGACAACTGATCCTGTTCTATGAACCCATTCCTGCCTCTTATTGCGACTAGGCTCTCCCTGTAGACCAAAGGCTTGGCACAAATCCGGGATCCTAGATCCTTAACTTTATCAGTCTCTGGATCATATAAGCCCAAATGACCAGGATCATCAGTTTCCATGAAAAGCAGACCGTTCTTCCAAAACCCCAGCATTGTAGTGGGGATTACAACTGTTGAATGTTTTGTCCAACTCCCGTCTTCCATCATCACCCATATGTCAACATCAGGAAAATCATAATAACACAGAGCAAGAGAGTTATTGTAGGTTGTAATAGCTGCAGGTTGTGGACTTGGAAGATCACCACGTATCTCGTGAAACAACTCATTGCCCATGTCAAATGAAAGGATCAGAGGATGTTCTTCCTTGTCCATTGCATACCAGTGATATACTCCATTAATGCATGTATTAGACAGAGGGGGATCCATCCAAGTATAAGGCAAAGAAACATCAAGATATCTCCAGGAATCAGATGATACGGTATACACAGCAGCCATCCACCTTTTCTTTATAAACTCATCCGCAGTGACCCAAACCCAAACCACCTTGTAATCATTAGTAATGGGATCCAAACCAAATCCAAATCCAAAAATTTCTTTCTCAATCACCACATTTGGCGGAAAGTCAAGAGGGAGTACGGGGAGGGACCTAAATTCTCTGGTTGCGGGATTCCACAGAGCAAAGCGATTGGAAAGATTGTACATACACAATATGCCGTTATAGAGGCTGATCGCTAGACGGCGGGGCATATCCACCACCACATCCTGATGCGCCGGGGGAGAACCAGCCAGTGATTCATCAGGGTACAATGAAAAAAAATACTCCTCGGAATCGTAGTCAAAATGGTAAACAAAGAGGCGGGAACTGTTGGTGTGGTGGTTGAAGTGCTTAGCAACAAAACTAGGGTTTTTGACGATAGAGTGCCAATTTTTGCACACTGATCTTGACTGAATCACTGATTTCACAGGCAGTCTTGCAAGGATGTCAATCATCACATCATCAGGCAGTCGATGAGTGTCACCGTAATTCGTCATTGGCCCCCTTTTTATTGATTCCATTGAAACCCTAAACCCAATGTCAATTGAAATCAAAATACTAACATTTTTCTTGAATTAAAAAAACAAACACGAGAAATATTCACCATATCAAATACAGTACTGTTGAAGATAACAGTTAAGAAAGAAGGTGAGACTTACAGGAAGGATTGTTTGGAATGACTCATCCGTCGACAAGAACACCAAGAAAGTGAAACCCCAGCTGTGATTTTATTCAAATTCTCTAGATTCTAGGGCATTTTGTTGGGCTACCAGAGCAAACAAACAGACCGCAGCCTCTCTCAAACTCGACAGACGACGGTGCAAGAAACGCAAAAAGAGAGAAATTTTTGCCACCCACCTAAACAAGCGATGGATGATCCGTACCGTCTTTCATCGTTATTGAAAATGACAAGGTAAACCAAAACTAAACACTATTAAACTTCGTATTAAAATTTAAATCCTACCGTTTAACTTTTTAAATTCCTCATTTAGCTTTTTCTTTGTCTCCGGGAAAATAATAGTGAAGGTAAATTGATTTTTTTTAGATGCATTTAGCAATAATCTTTTCTGAAAAATTTTAGGAAAGTATTTTTTTTCATAGTTTTGATAATTCACAAAAAAATATATTATTATTTACTTCTTATTTTTATTAACTAAGATAATAGGCGTGAATAAATTTATATTAGCTAAATATTTCTGGTTTCTTCTTTAAAAATAAAAGTAATATAAGAATTTAAATAAATAAATTTGTAAGACATTTAGAGAGATAATATAATATTCTAATATTTTCATCAAAAGTTATGCATACTCACATTTTAGTTTGAGAGTATTTATTTAAAATAAAAATAAAAATAAAAATAAAAATAATCGGATTAGTTAAATGGAAATAGATAAAAATATATAAGAAATGAAAATTTTTTGAACTAAAAAGTTTGATTCTACTTTCTGAGTAATAAAAAATTAAAAAACGGATTTAATTTCCTATGATGACCTTGTTAGTTATTTATCTGGACTCTTCTAACTTTTCTTTCCATTGACTTCAGGCAATTAGATCCTCCTTCTAAGGGCGTCTAGATGGTTCAACTTATATTTGTTTATTTATTTATACTAATTGTTGCTAAATCCAAACATGTAAAGAATATTTATCTCTATTAACTACGTTAGTCTTATAATTGTGCCCAATATTTAAACCTCATCATCAAATTTCAGTGCGAATCTCCATGGCTAAATATAAGTAATTATATTGTTATTTTTAATAGTTTAACATTTTACTATGTCTCTGCTAAAAATGAATATAAATTCATCTAACATGAATTCCTTTATTATCAATTTTTTATTATTTAAAATTATAAGTGTAGTTTTGATAATTAAAATCATTTTCTTTTCTTTTTTATCATATCCAAATTAACAAAATAATATTTTGTAATGTCCTACCAACCAAATGCATAGGAAAAACTTAATTTTTCTTTATTTCACTTCACTTTCCATAATAAACCGACATAAAAAAATGTTTCCAACCCCAAATTGTCTAATGATACGAATATTAGACACTTCACACCATTCACAGACTTCACACCATCCAACAGCTGCTGCCCTCAAAATTAGCACACAAAATTTGGGTAACAATGGTAGCACTTTTTAAATATATTGTGTGGTGATACAAGGGGAGTCGGAAAAATGGCATAATTACAAATGCAGAGGATTGAAAATGGACTAACAAATGTCACAGACATGTTTGGATTCAAATATTATAAAAGAGTTTGAACACACAGTTCATTCATCCACTTGCCTATTCCATTCTCCAACAATCATCAACACTGATGCAGTTCACACACACACAAGAAAAAATAAATAAATAAATAAAATAAAAGACTATGGCTAACAATTAAAAGATCATGTAGGTGTTACATTAAAAAGATTTATAGCCTCTTCAACAGACGGTTTCTGCACGAATTCTTAAAAAGTAGGTTAATGCAAATCAGGTCACAGCAAATTGTTAAAAGAGAAATCACCAGCATCAATGCCGTTCCTTTCACCCAATTGTGGTGCAACATTTTCTCACTAAAAAAGAGTGGACTAAAAAGAAAAGGAATAGATAAGGTTAGGACATCCAGTGGGATTCAATAAATGAATACTTGTATGGCTCTTACACAGGAGAATGTACCTGGATTAACACAGTTTTTGAACTTGTTAGTGATTAAAGTTCGGAGCCAACCAGCTCCATGAAGAAGTATACAAAAGCAACGACCCTAAGAATGAGGGAAATGAGCAACCCCCAGAAGGGAAAAAGAAACAAAAACAAGAGAGAGAGAGAGAGAGAGAGAGAGAGATCCTTTCTTCAGGATTTGTTCATGACGTTGCTTCAACATCTAAACAAATTCTTTCACCATTTTCTCTTTCCCAGACTACCAATGGAAAAATGACGGAAGCATCTGACAAATACATCTCGGAAGGAGTGACAAAGTCCAAGGTTTTATCTCATCTCAAATATTGGTAAGATTGAGGGAACCATCTAGACAACAAGTAGTGTTTTGTTTTCATAATCAATAGAAAGACACAATAGCATGGGATATGCAACAATGCTACCAACAAGTACCTGCCAATCAATATAATAAGAATGTTACAAAAATGGATTTTGCAGGAATTTATTTTTTTTAATTTTTTTTCCCTAAATGGTTATTGAATTTTGTGCATAAAATAAATTATAGGAAGGTTTGGAACCAAACCAAAGGAGAAAACATATATATATATAAAATTACAATAAAAATTGAAGCATGCTAAATTATGAATTTAAGAAAGAAGACAAGTTTTAGGTGGAATAAAGATTTCTAAAGCCTCCCATTCCAGGGATCTAAATTTTTTGACCAGACAAAACTAGTTAGGCACATACTAATTCGGTGTAGGACCCTTAATCCATTTGAAGGAAAATTTGGAAAACAATACTGCCTGCTTTCCCCCAAAAAAAAAAAAAATTAGGAAATATTTTATATTTCTATAGAAATGTCTTTCGAGTTAATAAATATAGATAAAAATATATACGGTAACTTTGAGATAAAAGAAAAGAAAAATCAGACCAACTAAATTTAAACTCAAATTAAGGTTCACATGCATTGCAGTTATGATGACAAAGCTCCGCTCAGGTAGGAAGTATATTACATTATTTCATGTCTCAATGAGAACAAGCCTAAACAACATACCATAATGGAGCACTTGGTCGTGATAAGTCAAGAAATGGGTATGGCCACCTGCAGCAAAGTATTTATAATGTATTAGTCCGGATTATTTTTAAATGAAAGAAGAGAAAAGGGAACCCAACATTACCATATTGATGCAAAGGCATGAACAGTCCACTGGAAGATTACATAAACACCCGTCCAGAGAATGAAGTAAGAAATCCGAAACCAGGGGAATAGCTGGAAGGAGAAGTTGAAATTCAAAGATGCTTTAAAAAATATAAATAAAAACAAAAAACATGAATGGAAGTTAAAAAGTAAATGAAGGAAACTGAGATTTTACCAAGCAATTTAAAGCTGTGTCACCAAGGAGCAAAATGGCATTTAGTGAATGAGTTACAACTGTTAACTGCCATAAATTGGAAAAATATATTGTTAAAATAATAAAAAGAACCACAAGAATTGCCAAGGCTGTCTTAGCACCAAAAGAACACCAAAGCCTCGGCTTGAGCTGTAGGTCCTCATCTCCCCCATGAAGAGGAGGTCAAGGGTTCATCCATGGTGGGGGTGCGAGGGGGACCCCAAAAAAAAAACCTATTACCAAAAGGCCACTACACAGTTTTTTTTCAGCCATTTAGGGTGCTGGGGGGGCCAAAGTATCATAATACTAGAAGGAGTACACACTAGAAGCCTGAGAGGGTACATTGTTACCCATTAGAACTATCAGAAAGCGAGTGTAGATGGCAAATTGAAAATGTCATTTGCTGCTTACCTTGTTTCTTATCATGGGAGGTGTTCTTTGTAAAGTGTTAGACAAAATATACCTAGTTTAAATACATAGTACAGCAGTATATTATGGAATTATGGGTATATATATTGATCATGGCATGTCTGATTCAAATCAACCACAAAAGAGAAAGTATTGTGGACTTCAGAAATTAGGCGGCTAAGCCAGCCATTGTGGGCTTCAGAAAGTGAGGGACGGACTAAATGATACCTTGAAAATCTTCTTTGTGTTTTTACCATAATAAACAGAACATATTCACATAAAATGTTCAAATGTAAAAAAAATAATAATTAAAAAAAGAAATGTGAAGCATAGAATTCAAGAAAAGGACTCACTGGAACACATTGTGCTTGAGGAAAAGATAAGAATTGACATGAACAACTTCATTTTTAAATTAGTTCTGACAAGATGTTCTTTTGAAAATAATGCAGCTTTCATACTAATGATGAAATTTTCATAATACATGGACTAGACCAGACTAGGCTATAATCCCAAGGAAACATTCCACACGTAAGTTGGAAAAAAAAAATGCAGCGGATATGCAACGATGCAAGTGCAAGTGTCTTCCTCTTCTCATTCAGCAACACTTGTACAAACATTTAGCATCAATATCCCCAACTTAACAATCACAAACCACGAGGTATGTGGGTTGATTATTGAGTTATTGATAGTTCAGAAGCATTGAGTAAAATGCTTGGACCCATAGGAGCTAGATTAACTGAAATGTCTAAAGTATACATTTAACCAAGTAACAAAATAGATTACTGAGGCACGTGGTCCTTTGCTGCCTGGACATTACCTAGCTGGTCTACAGGCTAACTAGAACCTAATACATAAGATGAGTGAGGCAAGTGGCTGGCGATGTCAAAGTGAGTGGCTGAGTAAGTAGGTAAAGTCGTGGCTATATACTCAATAACCATATAGCCATTTACCCAGTGGCTAGGTAAGTAGGTAAAGTCATGGCTATCTACTCAATAACCATATAGCCATTTACCCAATCTCAGTGCTGGCCCCGCCTACGGAAAGTGCTGAAAGGAAAGACTGGAGATGTACCTAATCTTTGACACTATTTTTTGCACAAAAATGGCAGCTCTCAGATTCCCAACTGCATCCTCGCACTTGTTATCCCAAACACTTACCATCAGGCATGAACCTACATGGGGATGAGGGGGAGAAATTGCACCCCCCTGAATTTTTTTTTTTCAATAATATACCCTTAGTAATTTGTTTTCTTCAATTATATACCCTTAAAAAATTACTATTGCCCCGACCCCCCCCCCCCCCCCCCCTCCCCGCGGCCCGAAATTATTGAAAAATTTCAGTATTGCACCCGCTCACATAGTATCCTAGGTCCGTCCCTGCTTACTATTGCACCAAGCAATGGGCCTTGGTTGTGGCTAGTGGCTACATAGTTAAAATTACATATTAAATCTGAGGAAATAAGTGGATTTTATGTATGCAGACATTCAGAACCTGTGGCATGGAAGCAACTTTATGACATAATTCATCCATAATCCTTTCAGGTTCTACAATGACCAACCAAATGAAGCTCCTGTTACCATTTATCCTGTCAAAAAAGTTTAGGGGCAGGGACTGACAGTGCAGTTAGATTATAAAGATACTTCAATAGAACAGAGAATTTTGATGCTGAACTTTGCATGACCCGAGGCACCGAAGGGATTCTTGCATGAATTTAAGCCGTGTGTGTGTGTGTGTGTGTAAGAGAGAGAGAGAGTAAATAAATAATGTAGCTTGACTTGATAAAATGTTGTTTATCTGTTCACATTCTCTTCCTCTGAGCTTGAGCATGAAGTCTTCTTTCTATACCAAATATGTGTAATGAAATTTGTTATTAAGGAGGGAAAAAAAAAAAATTGTTCTTAAGGGAAAAATATGACCTTGTCTTTCACTATATGGTGACGGAGCCAGAAAATTACTCGAGAGGGGTGGCCTTGAACAACAAGCGAGAAAGAGATAGAGTCAATGGCTGGGGAGATTCAGGGCAGGAATATATAGGGGACCCTTACCAAAAATTCAGTGGGGGCATTAGTACTCAGCACCTCTGTGCCTGTATATATCCATTCATACTTGGTAAAGCAATGTATTTTCTACAAGAGAGGGTGATACATCTGAGTACATACAGATTTTAATGATTTTTCAAATGTGGGTAAGCTATCCTCCAATAATAAGATCCGCTTTAGGAATTTATCATACGATATCAAAGACATAATAGATTGATTTTGAAAATTTCCACATTCAAGTATAATACAGAAGGCTTGATGCAAATAAATACATAAACATTAAACACATAAATATTGCTTAAAAGTCCAGTACTTACAAAATTCAGATCGTAATCTTTGATAGTAAGAAAAGGGAAAATAATGAACCAATAAATGCAATCAGTAAGCATCACCGCCCCAGCATTCATCTGCTTATGACAAAAATATATAAGAAATTAAGCAACTTGCATGGGAAATATTTTAATGAGAGAAAAAAGGAACAAAAAAAAAAAATGCATGGGAAATTATGGATGTAAACCACACAGTAGGCTGCAATATGTTATGGTAACATGCCTGCTAGTTAATCTAGTAAACCAAAAATATAAAGAAGCTAGCTTTTCTTGTAAACCAAAAATATAAAAACATAAGCAACTTACTTAGGATATAATGGACGTAAACCACACAGTAGTAAGCCATAATGTATTCTGGTATTTACCTGCTAGTTTTTCCCAAACAAGAAAATGGTATCCAAATTTTGGATGATAACATTTTCAATGTCAAAGCTATCAGGTGTCAAAAATGTTTTGTGCAGATGATCGTTTATCAAACTTATAAATCCTAGACCAGAAGGAACCTTACCATTAGGTTAGTTTGCCTTCCCCCATAGACCAATATTCTATGCCAATTGACCATACCTAGGCTTATCAAACGGTTAAAGTTTCCCCAAACAAATTGCAAATCTCTAGATCAGCAGGTAGGGTCTTTGGCAAGTTATGTTTCATGGACCTTGACCTGGGTACCTGTGTCAGGTGCAGGTTTGCGTCCAAGCATCAAATATATCAACACAAGGAAATTGCTAAATATTCATTTAATTTAATATTTTTCTTTTTATTTTGTACAGTAAAATGAGGCTTTTTTATGTAACACAGTAATAACGTAGGAAAATCACTCGTTTTAAAGCAATAATCTAACAAAATAGAATTCTTAGATATGCTTTGTAGGTGTATGTTCAACTAGATATGCCGAACACATCTCATACCCTAATGTCATGTGCCCGACTGCCCATCACGGGTACTTCACATGATTTTGAAAAGTCGATGTAATAAAGTGGCAAGATAACGGAGGTGAGAGTGTACAAAGAAACGAAAATCAGAATAAGGGAAAGATGCTGAAGATAAAAGAAACAAAAGGAAAAAATGAACAAACAAAAAGCATTGGCTCATCTAAAAATATAGAAATTCAGGAGCACAATAACCATGTTAATGGCCAAGAGATAAAACACTGAGGACAGTGCAAATTGTGCGATGGTAATTTCCTATCATATGCCACAATTACTAATTCTTAGGAGAGAGTATACCTGGAAGATAACTTGAAAAACATAGCACCAAATGCCTGCAGTTCGAAGAACATAATTTTTCCCCTGAATACCCAAGTTTTCTTCCATTCCGACTCTATTCACAGTTTCCCCACACGTGAGAGGCGCATATAGTCCTTGCTCTGCATCTATCCCCACATGATTAATATTGATCCCCCTACATGTTTGGTTGTGCAGGTAACATCCATAAATGGAGATCACTGATCCAAGCTACAAGGAAACTTGATACCATAAGGTAGAGATACAAAGATTCAAGTGCATAAAATAGTCAGTTCCAGCAAAACAAAAAATTATGTGCTGCAACTGAGCATCCAACCACAGAATTAGAATTTTTTTTCCCTCCACAGAATCAGATATAAAGCAGCAGAAGTATGGATCAAAATCATTGACTTTAATAGAATTTATTCTCCACCCTGTATTTTTGGCTTTCAGAGAAAGTTTCCTTTTCTTATTATTCTTTTGTCATGTTTTGTGTGGATATGAAGGTATAGTGTTTTTTTGTCCTCGTCATCTTTTTGCTTTGTGTACTTCCTATATAAATAGGTTCCGCTCTGTCAATGCTGTTTAGCGGATTTCTTTACCTTTAAAAATTAAAAAAATAAAAATGGAGGGGCTCCAAACACCGAATTAGGAAGCATACCCCAAAATAGATGGTCACCAAAGTTAAAGTCCACCTGCACAGCAACCAAAAAATCAAAACCTGTAGTCAACAAATATCTCCACTTTTCATCATTTAGAAAGCTGATATTAACCTATAACTTAGAAAACTATGGCAGCAGAAAGAGTGGAAGAAGTATCCAATCTATTTAAATTGGACAAGCTTTTGTTGAGCTGCAGGGATGCAAGTGTTACGGACAGTCAGAAAATTTTCAATTAAACTCCATGTTTGGTATGTCCTTTAAAGCACTTCAATAGATGAAACCATTTGCAAACAAAATTTTCTATTTAAATGGGGAAAGAAGCAAATGTCTTTACACAGGAGAAATCTCAATCTTTCTGTGTTTAAATCAAGTTCTGGAACCCTTTAATTGGAAAAACTGTTCTTTGCTACAATGCAACATAGCATAAACTATTTCCTTTTATGAAGATACTTTAAACATTGATTACTTTGTTTCATGAACAATCGTGTTAATACAGGCTGCCAAGGGTACTTAACCCATGCATAAGCTTTATCAGTTTTTCAGTATTAAATCCTTATTAGTGAGCCCAAAAAAAACAGATGACTTAACTGAGTATAATAGTAAAATATGCCACCTCCGTGATAAATAACTTCAAGAATGAGCGTCCAAAGTAGCAAACAGAATGAGATAATTCGGTAAACCAACAAACAGATGGGATGAATTTCTTTCACACATGGCCTCCAAGCTTCATCATCATACAAAACTCTCCCTCGCCAAGTACCTTCTTTGTCAGTTTTTGAAAGGTCCAAGCACTCATACTTCCATATCCAATATGATGCCATAACCATGGGTGTCAAGACCCATACTGCACAGAGAAGGACCCTCCAGTTCAACCAGTTATGCAGGGAAGTAACATCACCAATCAGCATGAGCTGCATCCTGCTAAAAGAACACAATTTTGCTTTTGCATTGGTATTAACGGCATCATAATTACTATAAGTACCCTCAGTGAGAAACAGTAGAACCATATTGACAAGAAAAAGAATTCTTGAAAGGGGAAGTCTTAATAATGTCTTTTGATATTAAAATTGGAACAATTTGTACAGATTAACAATTAGATTATAGACAAACTTCCAAAGAGAAAATTTGTGTCAAAAATAAAAAAAATTTAAAAATACCAACAAGGGTTGTAGCCTAATGGTATCTCCTCTGTCTCCCAAAGTGGAAGGTTGAGGGTTCCATAAGGGTAAAGGCATGTGTGAATTATTTGTTAGGAACCAAGGACTGTAGTACAGTGGTACTTCCTCACCTTCCAAAATAGATGGTTCAAGTCTCCATAGGGGTGTGTGAGTTTCTTGCCAAATTATTTGTAAGGAAAAAAAAAATAAAAAAAATAGTCCCTAAACACCCAAATTATTTCTTCAAAATGCTGAAAAATTGCTCCTGTTTTTAATTTTTGGCATGCCCGTAAGAAGGAAAAATAATTTCGTCCGTAATAGATTTGCATGATTTAAATAAGTCAAAAATTGCCCTGCCTTTCTATTTTCGGTATGGCATAACAAAACCAATGAGCCTAAGCATATCATGAAGTACCTCATGGACACATAATAAGAGTATGAGATATATGTCCAACAAGCCTAAAGTATGAAGTATACTCAACAAGATTGTCTGACAAATGATAACATATTTTTATTCACAATAGTTCAGAGACTTTCATAAATTTACGAGTATTTTAGCATCAGTATTCATGTTAGACACTCACATATATCAACACCTCAGAAATCTAGTGATGTCCTTGTGTCCCAATATTTGAGGAATTAGCTAATCCAACACCTAGATTTACACACAAACATAACACACATTCGTGAGCCCATGTGCTAATATGCATCTTCAAAACTAATGTAGCCTCATCCAGCACATTTTTCCCTGGTCTTCTAACCAGATGAATACAGATTTATCTCACTTACATGAGATCTTCAATAACATGGCTAATCAGCATTGAAAGCATAATTGTACATAGCCTTTTAAAGACCACCAAACCACTTCCTCAAGCAGGAAATCTGAACCCGAGAAAGCAATATAGTAAACTGTTGATCCAAGCTTCACGTAAATACACATTACCCATAAATCAATACATATTTGTAAACACAGAGATATATGCATACTACAAACACCTGATACGCATGCATGATTATTACTGTAATTGATTGATCTGAAAGGAAATCCTACGACCAAAATGGGTTTTCAAATGACACAAGTATCAAGCCCAAATCAAGTCAGAACTATTAAATTACTAGTAATAAAAATAAAATGGGAAAATTTACAGGAACCATTATCAAACAGAAGAACATTGTACTTTGTTTGATCGCTATACATTGAAACCTAAAAGTAGTAGTAATAGCGTTAGATACCATCAAACTACAAATCAAACCAACAGTTCAAATGAAGAAACTTACAGGTCAATGTGAAATGGAAGGCTGTTCTTGCTTCGATTGTTTTCTAGGGATTGGAAGCTAAACGTAGAAAGTCAAGAAAAACAACCTTCAAGAGCTTCAAGCATGTATAGAGATAATGTATAGAGATAATAAACACGTGTTCTTTATTCAGACAAAGAAATTAGACACCACGATGGTCAAAATCATCTTATCCTCTCTGTTACCAATCCGCTGATCCTAGAAGAAAATATAGGCATGCACGTGTCTTAAATTGTTTTTATAAGTATCAATTTTTCTGTACGTATATTAATCAATGTGTGTGTGTGTGTGTGTGGATCTCTAAATCTTAGAGCGACGTGTTATATCGGTGCCCTTGCCCCTTGCCATTTGGCCGTTGCTTACATTTTTCAATTTCAGAAACTAAATAAATCTGCGTGTTTCAATTTGCACAACACTCCCTGGTGCGTGTTTAGACAAGAGACTTACTAGTTGTAGCGGAAAATAAATTAGGGCAAAATAATAAATAAAAAATACATCATCATTTAAATTAAAATTATAACAGAGAAAAAGGGTTAGAAAAAAAAATAGGAATGTCTTCTACCTATGTTTATTATTATTATTATTATTATTATTATTATTATTATTATTTATTGGTAAAAACACACATTCATATACTTACTTTGTCTTTTGGAGACTTGAACCATTAACCTTCTATTTTGAAAGATGAGAAAGTATCATTAAGTTACAATATTTTTGGTATTTTACTTATACTTATGTAGATAAAATTTACTTTATTTTTTGACGATTTGAACCATCAATTTTCTATTTTGAAAGATTAAAGAGTATAATTAAGTTACAATATTTTTTATATTTTAATTATGTAGATAAAATTTAAAATCTTAAACTTCATGAGAGTGCAAAACAAAAAATAAAAGAATTCGTTCTTTTTATCTATGATTTTTGGAAAAGTTGTAAATCACTAATCAATGACAATCCCTTCCTTTTCTCTTATTCTCCTCCTTTTTTCTTTTCTTTTTTCTTCTTCTTCTTTTTTTCTTCTTCTTTATTATTATTATTATTATTATTATTATTATTATTTTTATCTCTCCTAGTTTTTAAACCAAGTATGAGATTAATTAATTAATTAGTCACATTGACTTACCTTGCAGATGTTCAAAATCAATCATTCTCTAATGCACAAAAAAATAAATAAATAAATAAATTAATGATAAGATTTAATGGTATTTGGGAAAAAAAAAGACAATAAATGAAATATCTATTTTATTTAATGGATATTTAGGGGGAAAATAGGAATCTAATTGCTAAAAAGACCATGATAACAAATCAGAGGAGTTCCCTATTTTTTTCTTTCAACTCTCCCACTCTTAGAAATATTATAGTTTGGAAGTTGAGTTCATTAAGGATTGATAGAGTTATAAGTGTTTCAGGTTTAAATTACTGGATTGAGAGATATTAATACATTAGTTAAATATAGAGAATTCGAGATTTTATCAAGAGGATCATTAATTAGAGGAATTGATTTCAATTATTGGTGTGAAAATTAAATAAAGAAAATATGCTTAGTAGCATATATATCTGTATAATTTTGTCTACAATAATGAATCTTTTGCATGAATTTAAGAATTCGATCAAGGGGCGAATATAAATTACTCTTTGATGTGTAACGAAGATTCAATACAAGTTGCATGGAAGTGTCCTTAGTCAAGTGTTTAAAGATCAAATTTTAGGTTATCAAAGGCGTTGTAGCTTGGGTTTCGACCCTGAATGGGTCAATCTAATTATGTCTTGCATCTTATTAGTTACATATTCTATTACCATTAATGGTGAATCCGGTGGTGTCATCCACCCCTGTAAGGATCTCGAGACCCCCTTTCCCCATACCTATTTCTCCTATGCACTGAGAGTCTTCCAGCCTTTGTGGGTAGATCAAAAGTCAACACCTTCAACTATATCAATGATAAAGTGAGTTCCAAAGTTGAGCTTCTCAAATGTGATATCCTTTCAAACGCAGACACAACAATTATTCTCACATCATTGCTCTCGACCTTGCCCAATTACACTATGTCTTGCTTCAAGCTCCCAATTGGCATATGTTCTTCCCTTAACAGTAAACTCGAGAACTTTTGGTGGAGTGGTAAAGAGCACATCACTTCCGTCAACTGGATTAAATGGGCAAGACTCTGTGACTCAAAAACTGAAGGTGGACTGGGCTTTAAAGACCTTGAGGCTTTCAATCAAGCTCTCTTGTCCAAAATAGCATGGAGACTTACCAAAGAAGATGATAACTCCCTACTTTTCCATCTTTATAAAAGCAAGTAATTCAACTCTTGCTCCTTCCTTGACTCACCCCATAAACCCTCTCTGCCTCCTCGGCTTGGAAGGGTATTCAATCCGCCAAACACATTATCTTCAAGGCCTACAATGGAGAATTACAAATGGATCCAAAATCAACTGCTAGATTGATCTGTGGTTACCAGATCCCCACAACCCCTGGCATCACATCCTCTCCTCCTCTTCATAATCTTGTTACCCATGTTGCTGATCTCATCGATCATCACAGCTCCACATGGAAAATTGAGCTCCTCCTGTTGGGAAACGTGCAAATTTTAAAAACTTTTCGAGGGATTTTGATTCATAGATCTTGATTCATCACATAGAGACAAGTTTTATGCAAAAATAAAACATGATGTATCATTCAATTAAAAGATTGAATACTTACATCAAAGGTCTGAGTAAACCTTTAAAACTTTCCTCTAAAGTGAATGTTCTCACTTATTGTAGATCCCTTAGCAAGATGCCTTCTCTTTGGATCTCCATCTTCTTGGTAATTATTTTGCCTTTAAGAATCACTCATAAGCCTCCATGAATTACCTTGGAAAACTAGGCTTGTGGGTGATGAGACCCGAGCGTGTGCACAAAATAATGCACAACACTTTGGTTTTGGAAATGGTATCAAGCGGGCATCATAGTTTACATTTGTAAACCGCTAGACACTTATACTATGTAGTATGAAGTGAGAAGGGATCGAACCCAAGGGATTGAACACGTGTTGGGACTAAACTTGATTTTAATGCTAATTAGATTGTAAAAGAGAGAAGAGATAGAGAGAGAAAGAGTGTGAGAGAAAAATATTTTGGTAGAGTGATTAAACTAAAATTCAATTAAAAGCATGAAAATAGAAATGACATTAAACTAAAAATTAAAGGGATAGGAAGAGAGTCTTAGGGTTAGGATTCACCACTAAGCCCATGCAATTAACCATATGCTTTCAACTAATGGGGAATTTATTAGTGTAATTATAGATGTGGTCACATTATCATCACAAATCACAATTGTAAGCATAGATTATCAACATCAAGAATGAATTGTCTACCTAATGACAATTAAACTAAAGTGTAGAACCCATTCAAGACTACGTCATAACCCACCATACACATTCACAAATGTATCCAATAAGAGCACACATCAATCAAGAAGATAATACTAATTGTAATTAGAAGCATGGATTAAAATAATCAAGCACAGATTGCCTACTTTACTACAATTAACTAATGACAAATAAGTTAATTTGTAAAACAATCTATCATGATTAAGCCTTTATCCATCAAATTAATTGATAATTGTATCAACTAAGTCATGCTATGGCCATCACTAAACACAACTAAAAGAAGTATCTAGTGTAGAGTATAATTCTAAATCAATCACACCTAGACATGCAATTTTCATATAGAATCAATGGAAGAATTAAATTCTAATCATCTAATGAAGAATAAAATCCCTAATTAATCATACATAGACATACAATCAATTGGAGATTTCAATGGAAGAATTTATCAATACAAACCCTAATTTATCAAATCAAGCATGTATATATTAAGAAATCGCAAGGCCATACAATTTAATTACAACATAATAATTCCCCAAGAAAAGAAATACAAAGGTTAGGGTTACATGAACTTAGGGCTCATCCAAGCCCTAAGTGAAGAACTAGCTCATGGAGGAGATGATCATGGTGTCAACAAGTCCTATCTCCATCTTTTGGCCCTTCTTCTTCTTCCTTCAACTGTAGACAAAGCCTCTGTAAAAAATATTCTTGAAACCCTCGCTTTTTTTCTTCCTTTCGTTTTCTTCCAGAGAGAACGATATCACGATACAGATTAAAAAATACTAAAATAAAACTTAATTTTCCCAAATAATAAATCACTAAACTAATAAATACTAACCCTAAAAACAATGGGCCTCACTGGGCTTAAGTAATAAACCTATTAAAGCCCACTAGGTTACAAAATAAGCCCAAACATTAAAATAAAAATATGCAATGTTGCCAAGTCCTGGGGGATTGATCCCCCACCCTGGGGGATCGATCCCCCAGAGTTGAAAAATTCCTTTAAGCCTTATTCAGCTCCATTTTTGCCCCGGGCTATTTGGTTTGCTTCTCCATCTTTGGGAACATCATCAAAGGCCCGAGATTGACCGCTTTGTGCCATTTTCTGAAAATCTTTGCTTAACTCCAAAAAGGCTTAATTGGATCGTTCTTAGCTCATTTTAACTTTATTGCCCTGAAATACACATAAATATAAATTAGGACTAAAACATAAACTTAAGATAGATGCAAAGACTGAAATACCCTAACTTAGGTGCTGAAATGTGCAACATTTAAGCACTTATCACACCCCCAAACTTAGATATTGCTAGTCCCTAGCAATGAACTACAACATGGAAATGAAACAAACATATATACAACTATGAACTAATTAAGCAAATAAAGATAACACCACTTTCGTATGGATCACGGTTGCATTTAGCATATGCAACAAGCCTTTTAAACCCCTAGGTGACCCCTAGTGGACGAGTGAAGTCTCGTGAGGGTTTCCAGAAATGGTACCCACAAATATCAAAAACCCTTTCTTACTTGAGAAGCAACGACACATACTAAACAAGCGTTGAAAGTAGACTACCTCAAGTATGCAAATTCTGCCATTTCTAAGCTATTCTCAACATTTCAACATCATGTAAGCAAGAATGGTCCTCCACACATCAGCAATTAATCATGCAAATTGAATCAATTCTATCATTCTTTTTTAGTGAACCAGCATCAAAATGTGTTACTATCCTAGCAAATCAAAGTAATGGCGTAGCCTTACCCTCAAACTAGCATACAGATATAGTACCAGACATCAAGACATTTAATGAACCTTGTT